TTTCGCCAATGATTTTTGGATGTCTTTGGCATTCGGTAAAACATTTTTATTTCAATTTGGGGTGATTTGTCAATACATATGTATATGAAATAGAATTCAAAACATGATTTTTATTATAATATTAAGAATTCATATAACACAGAAAAATATTTATGTGGACTGAAGAAAAATGAAAGGAGTGCACTCAGTAAATTTAGACTTAGGTGTACATAAACTGGAAGTCTTAGTTATAAAAGAAGATACAGTAAACCCTTCATTCCTCGTAATTAGAGACTATGTAAATTAGTAAAGATGAGAAACATTTCTTGTTATATTGTCCATTTTATGATATTTTGAGACAACAATATTTCTCTCCATTTATCACACCCCATATAACTGATTCAATTCAACTTATACATTATGCAAGAGATAAATCTGCCTATATATAGTAGATCTTTCTTTATGCCTGAAATGTTATCTAAATTATTAATTAGACATTAATTAACTTATCCAGACCATAATCAACCCTCGATGCTATCGCTAATCTGCGATATTTAGAGGATAGGAATATATTTTTTGAAAAATAATTAAACGTAAAAGTGGATAATCTAGACTTTGTTTTTTTTTTTTATCGTACCGACTTTAGTAGTGATGATTGAGGCTAGCCTAAAATTCAAAAGCTAATATCTCGGTTCAACGTGTTGCAATATGACTGAAATCTTTAGCATATTCTATTTACGTTATTTTTGTTTTACTATTGTAGCGAGATTTGTCAACTCTTTATCTAATCTCACATAATGCCCCTTTAACATGCTACTGAATCATGAAAAGTGTATAGAAATGTTGGAAGTTTTGTACTGAATGCCTTTAAAAGAAGATGATTATAAACATAGCCTGGATAGGTGGCATTAAATATTGACGATTACATCAACAGTTACATTTTCTGTATCGGGTATGTCATAAAATTCTCTTAAGTGACCCATATGTACCACGCAGGTTTTGAAAAGTAATGTTATTTTGTAAGATTTTTAATCAGATAATGTAATACATCACAATATGAAATGTTTGTTGTAACGTCCATGCTTATACATGTAGTATCGGTTGTACGTGACAAGGAGTAGGGTCGCCTGTCCAACCTCGTGGGTTTTCTCCGGGTTCTCCGGCTTCCTCCCACTGCTAAAGACCCCTTCGCCCAAGCGAATTATGGAAATAAAATTGAACCATATGTTAGTCCCGAAATGACCTAGTTTGTGTCGAGTGGACGTCAAACACACACACACACTCTCTCTCTCTCTCTCTCTCTCTCTCTCTCTAATACATGTACCTGTGAATAAACGATTATTATTATTATTACATTCAGGGCTGTTCAAAATAGATTCTATGCAAAATTTGAAACAAAACCAGTCAACCCATGACCTTTTTACAGCCAGTTAACGACGACAGGCGCGACGTACATTACTCTAAGTAGGCCATGTTCTTGCAATTTCGATAAAGAAGTGCGTCTATTGGTCAAAACTAATTAGATTCATTTCCTTGGTGAGTGTGAAAATGCCTCTGTAACAGCAGATACCACCAGTGCGTCTGTTTTCAATTTGATTAGAAAAGTATACATAATTAATGACGTCTGTCCCATGTTAACAGGAAGATTGCACCGAATTTGTGTCAGCTCTTCATCACCGAACCAAATATTTGCAATGGAATTATTCTATGTTGCATTCGTGTGATCTAGATTAGAACAACTAACTCTGCGTATCTGATTTAAAGATGCATTATGTAAGATGTTTATAAAGAGCTGGACGTTCTTGCTATAATAGTTTAAAAATAAATAATGAAAAATTAATATGATATAATTCAGCCAAATTATTTTCTTCTGAGCGAAGTTATGAATGTTTGAAATTTTGACATATTTTTTGTTAAATACTATTGCTACGATAATAACCCAATTTAAGTCTCAATTTTTTAGATTAACGTTTAACGAAGATAATATCTTAGTCATCCGATGATGTAGAGTGTTGATTATGAGCTTGTCATGATTGTGAATAAATGAATATAACATTTGAAGCCAGAAAAAATGCCTGCAATATCCAGATTTGGTTTAACTCTTACATAATGCACCTTTAAGGAGATTTTTCACATTATTGGAAGTCCTTATATTTTAAATTCTACTGTTGGCAGTCTAAGTGAGAAAGCCGCTTATGTCAAGTATTTATAGTTGCGTTTTTGTTAATTCCCATCTGGGGTGTTAAATCCATTAAACATAAGACAATAAAACTTATCCGATATATCCGGCATTTCGGGAAGCTACTCTGTCTGCTGAGTAACTGGATCTGCTTCTGAAAACTAACTCCAAACTCTCCGTCCAATTAGCCTCTTCCCATTTATGACCATTTTCGAAGTACTTTGCATTAGCTTTTAAAGGTACCCACCAGTTAAACGTCGATTTCGTTGTATTTACTTGTAAATCACAGACTATCTATTAGTATTGGTGGATTTTAATTTTTCCCTGGAATCCGTAAATTGATCAAGATTTATAAAACAACGTCCAATAATCAATAATCTGTAACAACAAAAATGAGGTTAACTAGTTTTAGATGTAAAGCACTGTCCAATTAATCTTAATGTTGGTAACATCTGAAATGGAGACGGGAGACGTAGAAGCTCTCACTTAGGACTTCACATTTAGATTATCGATTTTATAACAAATTAACCATTCTCAATTTCAAATCAAGGTAATAAGAAACATTACTAATTGTTCTGTCAGGATCAATAGATGACGTAAAAAGAAATGCGACACGGCTTTGTGAGTGTAACTGACACTAGCAATCACTGTTTTTCGAGGTTTTGTCTTGTTTTGATCTTGTCGATGTTTTATTATATTCGGAGGTGGGGCATCAGTTTACATTATTAAATCACCCTTTCACGTGGGGTTATTGGTTATGTACAAAAAACTCTAGGCAATCGATATTTCTATACGTTTAGAAAACCCAACCCTTTTAATCTTTACATACTCTCAGAAACTTCAATCTTCTCTCGATGCCACGACGAGGCTTGGGTACTCGATATCAGAGACGTTAGTTTTTCTTGTTGACCTTAAATAGTATCTCGGTAGTTATAGTTGGACTGATACGTTCCATACTCAAAACCTGGCCCTTTTCCAGGCTAAATAAATAAGAACAGTATCGAGATCATTTTGGGGCTAACATATTGCACAATTTTATTTCCATTACTAGCTGGACCCGGAGAAACAATTGAGGTTGGACAAGCGACTTTACCACTTGCCTCGATTAAAGACCTTTTGATCTAAAGCGCAAGTGTTAAACCCCTTGATTCCCCCCCCCCCCACACACACACACACACACACACACCCACACACACCCACACTCACGCCCACACATTCTTTAGGCCTGAAATGTTATATAAACTATTAATTAGATATCTATTAACATGAAAAGACCATAATCAACTCTCGATGTCATCTTATATGACCCAGTTGCTGTTCAACGCTCCTTGATGATTAAACGCAAAAATGAATAATCGAGATTTTAAAATAAGGTTTTCTTGGCTTAGAGTAAAGCAATTTGACTGAAATTTTCAGCATATCCCTTTTACATTATCTAGATTTGTAACTATTGTAGTGACAACTGCCAGCTCTTTATCTAATCTTCCATAATGTATCTTTAATGAGCAAAACAGAGTGTCCAAGAATCAAAAGAAAATGACACTTTAACACGAAACCCTTTTATCTGATGCAGCTCGGTGAGACATCAGCAATATACCCAAGTCTGCTTGGTGACTTAAATAGAATAAATCGTGCTCTAGAAATTATGAGGTCCCGAGTAGGAATTCTAATGACCTTTCTTGGCATGAATCTGAACCAACAATGATGATCAAAAATAAATAATTCAGAGACCTAATTGCCTGTTGAGTTAGAGAAAGTACTTTTCCTTTAATAGTGTTGGAAATCTGGAAGACAATAGAGAGGCAGGTGTGAACACCTTAACTGAAGAAACTATTTATCCTAATGATAAGAGTCGAAAATAACGTTAAAAAGATATGAAAATACTCAGACATTTCAGACTGCATTCAGCGTATATATATAAATAAAAGAATTATCTTCATGAAGTCTTCGAAGAAAATATGCGGAAGTCAATTTCAATTTTGTCTGGAGCTACAGAATTTCTACTTGAACATAAATTTCCATTCTTTGTGATTCGAGAAAGATCTGTGTGTGTATTACATATTTTCAACATCATTTAGCATCTCAATTGTTTTTCCTTCTGATTTTTTTCTTTTTCCAATTAATTTATTGGGTACCAAAATGCCACATGATCAGCTGTCATAAAGGAAGTAAGTCTATATTTTTATATGGAAAGATTACTTAATACAAGAGCTTTGGTATCCATTGGGACCACACCATAATTAATCATTTGTCCAATATATATATATAATATATATCTCTGATGTTCTTCGATTAATTAATGTATTGTTTTATTAATATCGGTCATCGCTGTACAGTCGGTTAGATCGTGATGTCCAAAAGTATTCATACTGCAAGCTTTGTCTGAAATATCAATATATATGTTGCACAAGTTCATAGTTTATCATGTATCAAGACAAGGCATCACTAGGATAATTAATAATGGTTTGATTTTTTTTTTCAAAATTAAAAGGGACAGGGGAGCTGACAGGGTCTATAATCACCCCTCTCCGTCTGTTTTAACAAAACAGTAAATATGTAGTATCATTCTTGTCATATCTGATGTAAAGATATATAACTAGTCATCAATTAATTAAGCTATGACCCCTCCTAAAACTTTAAAACGATTAAAAATCATATCCACGGCAGCAAGTAGGGGTTTCGTGATTCTAGGGAGATAACAAGCAAATTGCAGCACCGCCGTCTGCAACTTTTAATTCATCCCCATAAGCACAAAGGTTGATTATTATATTATATTCAAACTAGGATCTGCCTTTTCCATATATAATGGGATCTATAATAAACTGATATTTATCAATTTCAGGTGATTGCTGTATTATGTGGCTGTGTGGCCTTATTTCTTATGATGCTGTCTATTGCTGCTACAACATGGTTGGAAGCAGACGGTAGACGTGAAGGATTATGGGAACTGTGCCGTAGAACAGATACAGATGGTATGGAGATCGAATGTATCAAAAATCAACCTAGAGGTATGTTAGATTTGAAATCCATCTAATAAATTTTAAACATTTAGAAAAGAGACATATTCCACCATTCAAATATTGAAATTATGGCACTAGGAATTTGACATAACCAGATGTAACTTTGCTTTGCTTATGATTACCAAGGATTTGTGTCATCTCAAAGAAGAAATTCTGGTCTCCGTCCTGGGGTCTGTCTATAATAGTGTGATATTTCCTCGTGACCTGTAACATATGTTCGGTTTTCTAAATCGGTGATGACTTTTAGAAAGACCCAACATTTTAAAATAGATGACAAATTTAGTTTTATGCAATACAAAGTAGGTATACCAGAAAATTATTTCGTGGTATAATTATTAAAATCAATCACAACTAATGCAAGTTATTGCCATCTAAAGTTCGTATTACTTTTTATTGTTTTCAAGCCGCCATCTTGTAATCGTCTGTCGACGCGTGAACGATATCTCATTTCTACCCACGAACATCATTATCAAAGTGGTACCTAACCAACCTGCACGTTTTTGTTTTAATTATCTAAAGAACAAATTTGTCTTTATTTTTGTTAAAATTTAAAAATAAGAAAAATGCTTATTGGTTGTTTTTTAAACAACAAAAAGCTTCAAATCTCTGAATTATACTATTTAATGCATTTTTCTTTTGTCTCATTTGCCTACAGGAATAAGTAAGTATAATATGCTATGATTTAGGTTCGTTAGATAAATGTGCAATTCATTACATGTAGATCTAGATTATTATATTTGTCTTAGAAATAGAATAGAATACAATTCGATAAATATGTATGGTATCGTTTAATACTCATCTAAGAGGTAAACATTTTCTCAAATATAATTTTGAGTACAATATCTTATTCATATTATTCTCTAACAGCAATATACGAGATGTCATAATATTTTTGAGTATATAATTTTGACTATAAGCTATAGTAATAGCATGTAAATCAAATGGTACAGTTTGTATACAATAAGCTTGGCTGTTAGAACCTAGTTTTATTTGCTATCGGCTATGTGAGTTGGCTGTCCATGTAGTCTAAGGTGTGCGTTTGAGATCACAAGGTCCGCGATTAAGTCAATTCTTGGGATGCGCGTGATGAGCCACAGGAGCAAGGTGATCGGTTGTAATGTTCTCAATTTAGTGTCCTTGACCCAGGTTCCGGTGGATTATGATCTTCCAGTGAACGCCACACAATACATCATTCATTGAGCAAGACTACATGGTTTTGGTGGGGAGGATAACGATACAATTCCAGTTTTGAATGTCCATACCCTCCATAATATTTCGAGTGAACTTGGAAATTGTCTACAAAGTTTTTTTTATTGTTGATTTTAGTAGCCTATGGTATTCTTTTTCAGAATCTGCCAGGTGAACCTCGGTCACCCTTGAGCGTTTTGAGAAATTGAAGATGGCGTCCAAGTCGGCCGCCATTTCAAATAATCCCCTATAACGCCCATATATTTATTCTAGGATGATAATTTGGGGGTCTAAACGTATGTACCTGGGGCCAAGGAATACACTGAAACCATTCATTATGTTGTGGGGTGATTAGATGATAGTAAAATCTAAAATGCCAGACATTATGGCCCCTTAACTCAGTAGCTGTAGTTGAGGGCCATTATTTCACCAAATAAGACTAAGACTAGAGAAAAACTATATATTTCTGGATAAACGAGCATATGAGTGATACGATAACACGACATACATGCCTATCAGGGGCTCCAGGGCCACATGGGCCGGCACTGAAAAGGGGGCGGGGGCACAAACTTTTTTTTTAACATTTAAAAAAACAAAATCTACCCACAAAGCCAAACACGAAAATAACCCCGACAAGATTTGGCAATATTCAGTTTAATCCTTTGTCGTGTTTCTGGCTGCAACCTACGACAGCACAAGCGCAAGATACTGTACATTCTAAGCCATCCCAAGTGCATCTAAAAGCAAGCGTGCTGCATGGGGTGTCACTCTTGCATCCGCATCTGATGAGCAAGTTGGCCGGTTGTAATCTCAATTTAGTATCCTTCGCCCAGCAATAAAATTATGGATCAAGTTCCGACGGATTACCATCTTTCAGTGAATTGTTGCCTACGCGCACACGAATTATTGAAATAGAGATGTATCTATATTTTTGTCTTGAGAAGAAATATGCATTTTGTTGACAAATGTGTCTCCGTTGTGGCAATGCTTTGTTCTGATACATTTCTTTTATTATTAGTGTTGATTAAGCAATCATTTAGAATAGTGGTTCCAGCTATTGTGAATCTTTTTTAATATTTTTGTTATAACACTTTGTGCCTTAATACGTTTGTCTTTTAAGGGACGTTGTTTTTAGTATATGGGTATTATGAGCAATAACCGCTTTCAGAAATTAAAATGGTAATGTTCAAATGGGTATTAGAAATCTCACAATTTATTCATTTAGCAGAATAATACCCATCTGGGACCACGGTGACTCAGTGAGTAAGGCGCACTAACAAGACGGTCGCGGTTTTGATCCTGGTGCTAGCTGATGAAGTTCGTCGGTAGTTCGTATGGGACAGAGGTTCCGTTTACACGTAAGAAAAAATGGAAATTGGAATTCGATGAAAAGTAAGCGGAAATGCCGCTGTCCGGACAAATATACCCTCATGCGTACTACACTACATGGTCTATGTTCATCTTCATTAGCCCGGTTGGTGCAGAAAAGTAGGACGTTAAACCCTATTACATTTCACTCTAGAAAAAAAAAACACATTTTTTTTTATATCTCAAAATGTTACCCATATTGCAACAAGACTACGTTCCTTTGAAATCGATTTAATAGAATTAGTTTTGGGGTAGATCACTCTCAGAGATTATTGTTGTTTTCGTCGAATATAATTATTGATTATAGGCGACGGAAACAAAAGAAAGATTCAATTAAAAATATTTTATGCTTATGGAAATTTATGATCAAAGAGATCATTCTGGTTTTTTGTTGGGTTTTTCTTTCAGCGTGGATAGAAGCTTGTCGAGCTCTATGCTTGATGGCATTAGCTGTTTGTCTTTGTGCTGTTATTGTGGCCTGTGTTGGTTTAAATACTGAACGTTTTAGATGGAAATATCATTATTATAAAGCAGCCATGATCATTATGTTTATAGCAGGTTGGTATTTTAAAAATGTAAAGTTTGGGCGACAATGGTAGACCGGAGGATCCGTGCGGGGTGATTGAGGGGGGGGGGGGGTGTCCATTCCATCAAATTAGCACAAAAACAAACCCAACTTTGAATACGATGCCGAGTGGTAATCAGTCCGCCGTTGGGGCGTTTTCCAGATATTCGCGGTCAAAGGTCAAATGAGGCCATTTTCACATTCTTATGTCATGACAATATGCTGAAAGTGATCGAAAGTAATCACTCTTTCAATAAAAATGTAAACTTACTAAATTCTTGTTCTTAGTGACCCAGGAGGTCAAAATGTCAAATTTTCCGCTTTTGCTCTAGGAAGATGTAAAGCAATAAAATGGCAGCGTAAAATATAAAAACTAAAACGAAACATGTTCTAATTAATAGTAGGAACATTTAGAACTTATCTTTAGGTGGTCTTAGCACCGTACATTTGCTTTGGAACGTCGAAACAGAACCAGAACATTTCGAAACCTGTTTCAACAATAGTAAAAACGGTCAAATTACATATTACATCCCGGGGTTTTCCTGCTTGGTTTTCCCTTGTCGGTGGTGCAGTAAGGTCTGGTGGGACGAAAAACCGAGGGCCCGTGTACACATTGGCATCCACGTAAAAAAAAAACTTGACGTTGGAATTCGAAATAAGACGGTCGTAGCGCCGTTGTCCTGTTCTCGCACTTTCTGACTCACTGAAAGGGTTTGAGACGGGTTCGTGACATCCGCGACAACTCTATGACTATTTTAAGAGCAAGTTTGTCGCGCAACTGTTTTGAACATGTTCACAATTATTCTAGCGAGACCAGAGCAATGCCCTGCGACGCACGCGAGGCAATTTTGAGAACCCCCGCGAACATTTCGAGACATTTTGCGAATGCCGTTGTCGCCAACAGTGAGATACTATATTTAGCCCAGCCGGCATATAAAAGTAGACGTTAAACCCAATTTCATTTCATTTACATATATTATTTGTATTTTATTATGAATGGTAAAGTTTTCTGGGTTAAAGCTCGGTGTCGCTAAAAAAGGTAACCTAAAAATTATGGTGGTCGAAGTTGTTCGTGAAGCCGCGTTGTCAGTTAACTGTACATCTCTGATAGTTGACGACAAATACCACGATAAATGACCAGAAGGTCAACCGCAACACAGACAACTTTCAGCATCAAGACAACCACCAGCTACTCGAAATTCTTCTTCTACTTTTCTACCTGTCTCTCGTTTTCTGTGTATTAAACCATTTATATTTCATTGTTGTTTTTTTTTCAGTAACCTTGCAAGCCATATCACTTATTATTTTTCCTGTCAAATTCCTTGAAGAGATAACTAAAAAAGAGGAAGTGAGATGGGAGTTTGGGTGGGCGTATGGTATAGGTTGGGGCTCCGCCATCTTTATGTTAGGCGCCTCCATATTGTTACTGATTGATCGGGACAATGAAGAAGTAATGTACCGGGAAAAGACTAATCATAATATAAACCCAGAACCGGAAGAGGTTTAAAGACGTTTTATAATATTTACCAATTGACTCGACAAAAAACAGTACCTAAGATAAACGATTTTAATTTGCACATCTCTTGCGCTGAGCATGAAATATACGCTTTTTGTATTTAGTTTGATAAAATTACACGCAAAACTGATGTATCAATTCACGCCATTTGTGTTTTTAATAGCTCGCATCCGATCTGGTTTTCCCACTTTCTGTTTAAATAGGCCTACACGGAGTATTTAGTCGCAGTTGTCTTTCATATTTCGTTTTAATTTATTACGCGGTAATTGAATAGTTGTTAAAGCCTTTGTTAACCAAACATGATGTAGCAAGGGGTGTGTTGACGTTTCAGAGAAAAAAAGAGAATCCAAGACTTGCGAAAGAAGAGTGTGACCTTGTGACATGCAATGATTTGACCTTCAACTCTTTTTTGCATCATAATTTATTGTGAAATCGCGTACTAAAATGAACCTTTTACAGGAATATGAATATCCTCAAGCAGATTGAACAGATATCTTTACAGTGTAGTGTAGGCTATACTGATAAATAAATGACGATAAAAAAAAGTGTTGTCTCAACCAAAACCTTTATGGATAGATAGCGATAATGGATTGTGGATTACTGTGTGTGTTGCTCAAGTATAATTGCTCTGATTATGTCCATCTTCCAAGTCAGAGTGTGAACTATCTCAAGTTTAACCGACAACTCCCGAACCTTGTCGTGAGAAGTTAGATAGTGATATTCAAGTTGTTTTAAATATTTAATGATGGGATAGACATCATCGACTATCCCATGTTTAACGTTTATCAGATGGGTCTACAATTTGTAGAAATTATAAATGATAACCAGAATAAATCACATCCTAAAAAGTATTGGTTAACAATACTTTCTAGTTTCGTACACATTTTCTAATTGTCACAGAACCCGACGACTTAATAAATCATAGTTGAATATATATTTTTGTTTAGAAAATAGTCTACAGATTCTTTCTACACTAACCCTTGCCATCGCTTCTGTGTAGTTATTGATTATTATAAACCCAGTTAATGAAGCAAATTTGACCCATGTACGAAGAAGTTGCCATTTATTGGGCCAACTTTAATACTTATTATTTCTACACCAACCCTTGTCATTGCTTCTATGTGGTTAATGCTTATTCTAAACCCGGTTAGCGAGGCAAATTAAACCCATGGGTCAACTTCCATGCATTTAACGAACGAACGAACGTGACATATTATGGTCGGCAATAGCTATAGCACCATATCCTACCAGTCTTAACAATGGACCGCGTTCTATTGTTGTTAGACACCTGCAAAACATTTGATCCATTCTACATAAAAAATACACAACACATTATGGCTTTAGCGGCCAAAATGTAGCTCTACTACTCTCTGATTTTGAAAACCAGTTAAGGCTAGAGGCATGACGTATGTCTGAGTCTGAAGTTCCATGATTGTCATTGTTATACGTAATTTTTGATAGTAGCACAGATAAGGTTTTGACATAATATTAGGGCAGGTTACCTTAAGGACGTTTACGTTTGCATGCGCAAAGCTCGCGTGCAACCAGTCCGAGGGATTCAAGAATGCAGATTCCTAATAATATTCCTTTTGTCATACCTTCCAGTAATCGTTTATGGTGGAGTAAGATTTACGCTAGAACCGTTCTTAGAATTGATCAAATAATGTTAACACCTTAATGAACAGTTCCCTTGAGATTAAATGACAAGTTTAGCAGACGAATGTTCGTCGATTGACGTAAAACAGTATAGCGTTTGGGCTCTAGCTATACGTTTCATAAACGCACTTTGGGAAATGAGGGGAGGGGAGGAATGGTTTAATGTTTGGGCTTTAGATCATAGGTCCGCCATTGAACCAATGGCGCGGTTTCAATTTCCTGCTTCTATGTAGGCCGCTTGGGTTTTCTCCGGGTCCTACGGTTTCCTCCCACTGCTAAAGCGAATTATTGAAATATAAATTAAACCATATGTTAGTACCGAAATGATTTCCCATGCATGGATCTCTTAAGATATGATTTTGTCAACAAATATAATTTTCTCGGTAGTATGAATATGTTTTGCAATCTATGGTAACGTATTTCAAAATTAAATACATCTTAAATGCTGAATTTGGGCTCCCGAAGTCCAGTATTATAATCTGAAGTGTAAATTCCCGTCATTTAACGTTCTTACGATTTAAGAGATAAGAATTTGTAAGTATACGGAACTACAAGAAGTCATTGTGCGCACATAAAACTGTCTACTTTGAAAACAGAATTCAAAAATAGGTAGCCTATACACGGTTCTTAATTCTAATCCGTCTTACATCTTTCATACACACAAAGAATATATAAACATCTTCAATTTCATTAAATAAATACTTCAAAATATTCTCGATTAGAGAGTTCGACAAAAATCGTCGATACAGGAATTAAAACAGGATTAACTAGCTTCGTGTCTTTACTCAGGCGAAGCTAATTGTACGCAGACAGCGTAAGTTTCGAGCGACAAGAAGTCTGATGAACATTGGCACAATAATTATTAGATAGAAAAACTAACTGCAATAAGAATTGCAATAATAATAACCACCAACCATAACTAGTTTTCAAAATTAGAGACCACTACGTATTGAACAGAGCTATAGAGAATTTTCTCTCCATTACTTAATCAGGGTTTCCTTAATTCCAACTATTATTAAAATTATTTGTATATATTATAAATATTGTTATTTTCCTGAAATCTTTTTATGGTGTGTTGTTTTTATAATGTAATTAGCCTTTATAAAAGTTCAATAAAGTTTTATTAGACTTGTAAGCTGAATACAATGATAACGTTATAGTTTATCAAGTATAGGAGCCACGGTGGCTCAGTGAGTGAGACGTTGGCGCGCTAACCTTTGTTGACCGAGAAAGTTTCTCTGGATTTCCCCCCTTGTCAGTGGTGCAGGACGGAGGGTCTGGCAAAGGACAGCGCATAGTCGTTCGGATGGTACGTAAAAACGAGGACCTGTGTACACATTGGCGTGCACGTAAAAGAAATCTTGACAGTTGGAATTCGATATAAGAGTAGGCCGTAGTACTGCTGTCCGGGCAAAATTTCCCTCATAGCACACTGTATTATGGCGTAAGCCCGTCTCCAGTAGCCGAACCCATTAATTATCCAGTGCAAGCTATAGTTGTTACCTGTGCTTACTTCCGCTGCTTTGTCAATATTTCAATGCATGATATAACATATTTCTTTGTCGGCCACTGTTTGCAATACATTTAGTGCTTTTAACAAAGGAAAGCTCTTGTCCTCAATTAGTAGACCCTTAGAAACCATTCATTCTCGATAGCAGATTATGGAATCTCAAGCACTGACGCATAAGGGGGGGGGGGGGAGAGAAGGCTAACCCCTTCCCCATCCATCCAGGCAAGATGTAAACATTTTGAATTTCGGCAACCCTCAGTGGGAATTCGGTATGGGAAAGCCCTGTAAGCAGGGGCGGATTGGGCCCGAAGGGTCGGTCGGACAAAAAATGGAAAAAACAATTTTGTCCAATTCTTCTAAAAAACCTTTTCCTGTTGAACATTATATGGGGGGGGGGGGTATTGGACCGGCCATGGAGCGATGATGATCATGTTGTATGTGGCCGGTGGCTTTAACGGGCCGCCACGCCATCACTAGAGTCTGGAATTGGCTGGTATAATAAACTTTCTTGGTCGGGTGTGCTAGGTGTGGGCCGGAATTCGGAATCCTGCGATGGGGATTCTGAATTTCATCCGAAAATTACATCGGATTCACTCGACACTGTCGCCCGCAAATTTACTAATTATTAAGTCACCTGCACCTTGAGATATATTATTTGACAGGGGTTATAATGAGATATGCCACAAAATCGCATATTTGGGGTTCATTTTTCAAAATTTTCCAGGGGGAAAGCCCCCCGGGCCCACCGTCCGGGCTCCGCAGTCAGTAAAAGGGGCCGCTCCGACACGGGAGCCCGGGGCGGTTCCCGGCCCCAATCCGCCCCTGCCTGTGCTCTGTGTTATCTAAATATACTACTTTCCAGCTCTAAAACAGTACCATCGGTATTTCCCCACTCCTTTGTTAATCTTTTTGTTACAAAGAGGTGAGGCTCTTTGGTTCAGTAATGGGGCATTTGCCCCGCTAACTTACTGCACATAATTATTATGATCTGCCAGTACAACTTCGATAGTAGACAACTTGAATAGAAACCACAAGAAACTGAAAGTACATCCATCCTTTCCCAGTATTTTTATTGATTCGGTGTTGAAAACATTCCGTAGCATCCAAAGCAGATTATAGATAGAATTATTTTTTTTATGTTATCTTAAATGGCCACTAATTATAAAATCTTTAATGCGAAAGAGATGCTTGTGTGATATGTATCTATTAAAGCTGGTTTCCATTACGATTACATGTGATTGTGTCATCACTTTTTAATTGAAACGTTCTGTCGGAGTTGTGATAATATGCAGTCGTAAACCAATAATTATATGGGAGAGAAGAAAAGTTCTGTCCTAGAGCGATAATGCAGATCACTTAAACATGCATTATGCAAGAGCTAAATCTGCCTATCGCAGGTCTTTCTTTAGGCCATCCCAAACTTAGGCTGCCTATCTACAGCTAGCTCCGGCTGAGAATAGGGGGAAGTATGACGTGGATGGGTCGCTGCGTGCAGTATGTCTTTAGGCCTGAAATGTTATCAATCTGATTAAAATATAGATCTATCGCTAGTCTGCAATATTTAGCAGATTAGAATACATTTTTTAAAAAAATAATTAAACGTAAAAGTAGATAAGCGAGACTTTGTTTTTTTTTTATCGTACCGACTTTAGTAGTAGCCTAAAATTCAAAAGCTAATATCTCGGTTCAACGTGTTCCAATATGACTGAAATTTTTAGCATATTCTATTTATGTTATTTATGTTTTACTTTTATAGCGAGATTTGTCAACTCTTTATCTAACCTCCCATAATGCCCCTTTATCATACTACTGAATAATGAAAAGTCTATAGAAATGTTGAAAGTTTTGTACTGAATGCCTTTAAAAGACGAGGAATATAAATATAGCTTTGGCAATGAGAGAGAGAGAGAGAAATGGGGTTTAAATATAGCTTTGGCAATGAGAGAGAGAGAGAGAAATGGGGTTTAACGTCCACTCGACACAAACTAGGTCATTTCGGGACTAACATATGGTTTAATTTTATTTCAATAATTCGCTTGCGCGTAGGGGTCTTTAGCAGTGGGAGGAAACCGGACTTTAGCAATGATGATCAAGGATAGACTAAAAGCTAATATCTCGGTTCAGAGTGGAGCAATTTAACTGAAATTTTGAGCATATTCTATTTACGTTATCTATTTTTTAACTGCTGTTAATGTGCCTTAACCCCCAACATATCCCATAGCATATACGATGAAATCAGACTATTAAAAAAAATCAGTCGTTATTTAATTATCAAATGGTTAACGTGAATAGGTGTGAATGTGATATATCCTTTCAAGCTGGGTTCCATTACAATTAAATGCGATTGTGTTATGGCTTTTTTGAAAGCCAAGAATTAGGAGCGTACTGTATAAATCAGGAACCGACCATGACATCATTGCGCAATAGTAAGTCCTGTATAAAACAGGAACCGATCGTGACATCAGTGCGCAATAGTAAGTCCTCTATAAAACAGGAACCGATCATGACATCAGTGCGCAATAGTAAGTCCTCCAGGAACCGACCATGACATCATTGCGCAATAGTAAGTCCAAGCATATAAAGCATGCGAAGTTTCATGTCCATCTGTATTCGAATGGGTGTGGCCCAGCAAGAACAAGTTCGACAGCTGGTTTGCAGCGATGTGTGGTCATGAACAGCCGATTCTGGTCATGGACAGCTGAGGAATAGCTCGTAGAAGCTGAATGTCCCAAATGGGTCGCTTTACGTCTCCGTTAATTCTTTGGGTGATGTTCCAAATAATGTCCATGGGTCATGGGATAAAAACAGTACATTTTACGGGCCAAAACTGTAACATGGAAAATCTCCACACGATCAATAATTCTGGCAGTAATTATCAGAAATGAGGTTTACCGTCCCACTTTTCTGCACCAACTGGGATAATTAAGACGGGCATGTGCCATGAGGGAAACACTGTGTATAAATTCAAGGTCAACCGGGTGATAATTATAGCTTCTGGAGCAGCGACAAGCAATTGTGGACGAGGGACAGGCAGAAAAGGGAGACAATATGACCACATTTCAATGTGAGGTATAAAAAACACTCAAATAATTCAAGGAAGAAGGATGTTATGTTTGTAAAGTTTAATAAGAAGTAATTGTTTTACTACAAAAAACATATCTATTTACAAGCATATGTTTCAGTCAGTATAATGGTTTGAATATGAAGATTTATTCAGATCTATAGATGATAACAAATTATTTGAAGCCTAATAACAAGACATGTTCAACTTCTACACATCAAAGAAGAATTAATTCACAATTAAACAATTTAAAAATAAATGCAATTGATGGTTTTTGAGAGGGTGAAAAATGTGCACAGGCTAATGCATTACACATCATGATACTAGAAAATGATTTTTTTTTTCTTTTTAATAACTGCAGAAAATTTATAAGATCAAAGCTTGTTCATTTTCTTAATATGTCAAAATTAATAAACAATGATTAAATGTATGTACAGTTTTGAGGTCGTATGTAATGTTGTTTTCTATAATAATGGAAAGCTAAAAGAATAAGAAATGTCACTGCAAAACCTTACATTGTACATACAAACCTTAAAGATAGAAGAATGTTATGAATTTCATACTGAGCATTGGTATTAATTAAAAGGCAAATATCCACATATGCTTAAGATAGAAGAGCAGAGATAAGCAATAACATTTACAACAACTAATGGTAGGTAATCAATAATTAATTATTTGAAGCAGCAGCATTATAAGAAGGGTTTGAATAAGATGTCTATAATACAAACATGAATTATTTAATATACAGTATAAAATAACAGCAATATACAGGTTAATACAAATAACATAACAAAAACAACTTAAACTATAAGAACTATTATGCCTGGAGAAAAATATGATCACCTCTTGTTAGTTGGGAGCTTATATAAGGCCAATATCTAAAACATTTTAAAGTAAACTTGAATAAAATAGCAATGTAAGGGGTTGAAACAATATTTCTTATAACACAATTTTCAAATATAAAACTCCCCATTGCTCCCCTCTTCATAGAAGTCTGTTCTGTAATGGTTATTTTCTTTTTTGATCAGAATCATTTACAATGTGTTTTAAAACATATTTATCATCTCCTAATAAATTCTTTTATGCCACCCTTATTATGAAAATTCCCAGGTTTTGTTTTAAACCAAAAAAATTTTGATTGATTGCCTGAAATCTTCTAAGAAGAAAATTTCCTAAATGTCAACCTGTGATTAGACATAATATAATCTGTGAGAAAATAATTTCCTGACACTATATCATGGAAAATATTTTTTATAACTCATCTTAAAGAGTCTTAACCCAAATTTGCTAACCAAATACAAGACAATGGCAACGAGTCATTTTGTTTTAGCTCCAATCGGTTGTATTCACTTCAATCCATACTTTTCAATTGACAATCTGTGAACAAATTAACTGCTTAAATTAACTAGTTATACAGATATCCCCATCAGAATAGCTATTTGGAAATACGGTGACTGTGATTTAAGAGGTACAGTAAATATCCTGTAATCATAATTTTACACCACTCACAAAGGTGTTTTTCCTTACACAAACTATTTATCTCATTTTGTTGCTATGGAAGCTATAAAATTTTAACCTGGGATTGTAATTTTCTATATTAAAACATTAAATTACCTAAAATGTTGCAGTTTTCTCAATATATTATCAGCATTAAGAAGATTATCTATGAATTTAGGGTTTATTTGAGAATGACACCCTGTCAATAAATCTTATTTTAAATCAATTTAATTGAGGTATGTTTTTAATCAGATATATAAGGTAATGACATGATGAACGTAAATTTGAAAGATATATAGATAATATGTTAATATTTCCAAATAGTTTCCTATGACGGAATGTCTTTCATTGTTTAGTAAGTGCGTATAATTAAAGGAAGAAATTACAAAATTGGTTGTTACATGAATAAATGAGTCCATTCAAATTATATATGCTGATATGCAATTTGTTACAAACAAAAAAAGGCAATTGAGCATTCATAAATATGGTCCAAACTAAAACCCTAGGTATAAAAGGCCCAATATACAGGACATGTTATATCAGTTACCTGTCCTCTTGGTAAGTGATAAATTATTAGTTATGAAAATATATTACATTTATTCCTACGCACTGGTAAAAAAAACATTAAGAGAGCATGTACTTATGTGACCTGTACAATCACATTAATAAATAATTCCCTATTAACCTTCTTCAGATATTATTAAAAGTTCTATCAAATGTTGATTAGCAAAAAAATAGTCTGTGATAAATTGGACAAATTCAGACATGATTTAATTATTTTAATCAGTTCAATGATGATTTTATTGTCTGTCGAGCAATCTGCACTATATTTTTGCCTATTACTAAATGATTGCTTTTTTCTAACAAATGATCTAACAAAGCCTACAAAAAACAATTGAAGCACTAAATTTTACCTCTTAGACATTTAATGTATGTTTCGAAATACATTGCAACTACATGTATGTTTCTGTATTTCATTACAAAATGTTAAAATTTATGACTAGTTTCGTTTATAATCAAAATACAAAATTATACATATACATCCATTTAAAAAAAAGAACTCTAGCTAAATTATTAACGGCCAAATATATTGCACTAAAAAATTGGCAAGTCTAATAAAGATAAAAAGAAAAAATTTATTTTTTTTATACATATCTACATTATAATTTACACTTTGTTTTTTTATTCCTTATTTGTTACCTTGTACAGTTGTAGCAAAAGTAGTTTTTTGATTTTCGAGTAACTCTACAAGTACCGGTATATTATTAAGGTTCATTATAACTACAGAAATTATTTAATTTCCATTATTTTTAATATTGGATAGGCAAAATTAAAAGGAAGAACTATGAATTTATACAAAATCAACAATGGCACAATATTCATAATAAATTTCAAATTTTCTATGACCAAAATTTCTTTTGGCAAAGCATACAACATCAATTTATAAACATTTACCTAAATGTACATACTTTTATAAAATACTAGGAACAGAACATCACTGATAATGAAAATCAAATTTCTTATTGGATATCAATCGTGCACACTGATGTATTAATAGGGAATTAAAGATACATTTCCAAGAGCATAATTGGATAGCTGGTTCTTTAAACTGGAAGGATTATCTTTGTAATGACTACAATTAGTTCAAACTGCCTAATAAACAATTCAGCTCCAGACAGTGATCATATATATATATTATATATTATATATATATATATATATATATATATATATGGCAGCCATTTTTCTATTGTATTTCATAATAAGTCCTTTCAAAGTGCCACTCTTTCTCAGTGACATCTCTTCTTTCTAGCATTTGTAACAACATATTTATATATGTTATGTTCTACATTTATACAACATTTACTTGTAAATATTCAGTGAAATTACATATAGTGATCTCCATTATAACTGTGAAATAATCTATTCCAGCAGTTGTTTAGGACCTAAATGTTTAATTTTAGTATGAAGTTGCTATAGTTACAAACAGAAAGGAAGGGTATTGCTCACTGACTGCCTTTGTTACAATATTCTTAAGTCTTTTGTTCCTACTTAGTCATTGCATAACAATTCCTTTGAGATTTTACCATAACCATTTACATTAATCATTAAAGACATTTGACTTTAATTCTACTTCACTGAATAAATATAAAGGATGCAGAAGCAGAAAATTAAATTCACTTTGTTGCATTTTTGGCTTATTGTATCAAAATTTAACACAACATACATTGTATTTCAACAAAGAGGTGTAGCGTTTTAAGATAACAATATAATGGACACACAATCTACTAACCTATACATTCACTTCTAGAATAATAAAATTTTATTGGAAATTAATCAGCTTATTACCTGGAGTTCTAATCAATAGCAACGAGGAGAAAACAATACTTGAATTGTGAATTAAGTGACTACTGAAATGTTTACAGGCTTACTGGTTGATGGTTTGATACTTATTGTCTTTGTGTAATAATGGCAATATATTTCTATATAGTATGTACAGTATAAATATTTAACTATATGTTAGTAATACCATGTTTCCTATTCACAAACCATAATGCTGACATATTTAAAAAGTTATACATACATAATGAATGATACCATAACATAAAATATGATATCTGTCAATGGGCTAAAGTTGAATAAAAAGAAAATAGACACCGATAAATAGACCCAGTAGAATAATATTGGTATAAATGTGAATTGCAACATATTTTTCACCCAAAGACAATCTTGTAAGGGAAATAACTCTTATCAAGTTATAGTTCTCCTTTGACAAAACTTTCAGTCCATAATTTTAGTATATGTTGTACAATATCCTTAATGTGGGTTTTATTACCAAAGTATATCCATAAATTCACCAAATATGATTTCTAAGTTAGGCCATATATGTAATATTCCTTTTAGTACAGCATACAGTCATTCCATATTCCAGGTAAATGAGATAAAACTGTATGGTGCCAAAATATCCTTGGTTGGAAAGCACAAAAGACCCATGTATTATAGCACTGAATAAAAACATCAAGTTTTTGAGCCACTGTTTGAAATCTATTTACCAGGCCAAAAGATGTAAAGAAAACGATAATGCCTCTTGAAGAATTTCACAATCTCATTTGATTATATTTTGATGATGATCCGCAGCTAAATGTGTAGCCAGACTAGTTTTGTTACAATGAATATCCACCAAGCTAAAAATCACATAAACACTCAATTGGTTATTTCATTCTGGGTCAAACGTCCACTGTTTCAGGGCTTGTCAATGGATGGCTTAACATGTAATTAGCCGCCTCCCGTACATCCCAGTTTGTCCTTAGTAATGCCTCTTTACATTGACTAACGTCACCTAACTGAACGCTTAAAAGTTGTTTTAATTTGACGTATTTCACAGCTTTTTGTAAATCCCATCTGGTATCTTCCAAAGCTTTCATACACTTCTCTACACTAAGCTGAAAGTAAACATCAATACAAATTTAAACTTTGGGGAAATACATTCCGTACAAATGAGCGTACATTGCAGGGGCTTATTGACTGATATGACTACCAGCACTAAAGGAAACTATTGGGATTGCAGTGTTTTTTTATTTATTGAGTTTATTAATCATTTTCAGTCTTTAATTATTTTTTGATGAGAAGAAGAAATATATAAGGTACTATATATGATACACTCAAAGCCATTAAAATCGCAATGCCAAATGCACAAAACCGAAACGTCAGAGAACCATGAAACAAAGCAGGGGTCAGCTGAAGTCAATATCGGGTATGTCCACTCTGAGCTCTTACACATGCCTGAAGTCGCCTTGGCATGGATTGGCACAGCTGTCTCACTACGTGCTGTGGGATTGTTTGCCTACTATGCAACAGTTCGTGGTGGCACGGCTTGAGTTTGAACCCGTCGTACAAGTTCATCCCAAAGGCGTCCAAGTTCATCCCAAAGGTGTTCGATCGGGTTCATGTCGGGAGACACAGCGGGCCAATCCATAACACGGATATGATGATTGTTCAGAAAGTCTCTTGTCAACCTGGCAGTGTGGGGTCGGGCATTGTCATGCTGGAAAACTATCTGTCGATGGACGCCATGTTGAGCCAGCAATGGAATCAACACCGGACGAAGGAAGGCGTCAACATAATGTTGAGCGTTGAGATTGCCTTGGACCACCACCAAATGGGACCGGAAGTTAACTTTGATAGTGGCCCAAAACCATGACGCCATCTCCCTCGAAACGATCCCTTTCCAGCACGCAGTTACGAGCAAAGTGTTCATGTCGACGTAGGTAGATACGGTGACGTCCATCAGGTAAACTGAGGTTGAATCGGGATTCATCCGAGAAGACGACAATTTGCCATGGTGTGTTGTGCAGCTACCCCTAATTTGTGGCCCATTTCTGTCTGGCAAGTCGATGACAATGCGAAAGGATTTGACCTTGGTAAGGTCGACGGCAGCGTAACCCGAGAGCAGCCAGGCGCCTTCGGACTGTTTGAGGGCTGATCTGACATTGCCGTGTTCCAACAGTTCCCTGGCAGTAGCAGTAGCTGACTGGAACCTGTTGCGCAGATGCTGTAGTTGGATGTGGCGATCTTAAGCGGCAGTTGTTACAGGTGGTGCTTCAGGTTGGGGTCGATCGGCAATTCTTCCAGTGGTGTGGAAGCATTGTCTGAGGCAAGCAATGGTTGATGGGTGGACATTACAGTATCTGCCGACGGCTACCTATGAATCTCCCTGATCCAGCATGCCAATAGCTCTGTTCCTGTTTTCTTGTGTAAGGCGTGGCATTTTCCAGAAGTGATAAATGTTGAAATTTTGTATTTAAAGGGCCAGAGTGCAGGGAATGCACGTGCAAAACATGTGACATGCTTAAAATCGTGAAAAAAGACAAGTGTTGCGTTTGCATGAACAAAGTTCATTACCGAGAACTGATATTGGATACAAACCCAGAACTCCACAAAAAAGAGACCCATCACAAGTTTCACCTATTTGCCATAAGATAGGAAAGCCCAAAAAACGTTTACCAGAAGTATTTCACGAATTAGACATTGTGTTTTTAATGGCTTTGAGCGTATATAATGAAATCTTTAACTCACTTCATTTGAAAATATTTTTTGCATGGTTTCTATCTCTTCACAATTCTTCTCCCTAGAAAAATGTAATATTAATATTATGAGTATAAATCATTAATTTATGAAATACAGTTGGTCACAAAAAAATATATCCAAATTCTTAAAAATCCCCACAAATAATAAAAATAAAAATAATTTAGATATAAATAGCAAAGAAATTTCATAACAATATCGTCAAGTTTTCAACATTATCCCTATCAGTCACATAAATGGTGTCATTTAAATCTAATGATTTGTTTCTTTTCTATTTGGTCTTAAAACATGTACATTGGAAAATAATGTACTGGTCTCTAACAAATGCACTATCAATTTTGGGAGAGATGCCATTCCGATTTTTATTTTTAGGTCTCTTCGGCAGGTTATAAGATGGCATTGTAGCAATACATATACTATACATATAGCTAGCATGCATCATTCAGTCCTTGCCTCCCTTTTTTATGTACTCTAGTTGTTACTAGTTTGTACTGATTAAATAATAACAATGGTATATCATTCTAATATCTATCAATACATACAAATGATAAATCTAAAAGCATTAATGGTTTTTTTTTTAAGCTGATGTTAATATCAATCAGGAAAATGAATTATATATAAAAAAAAATAATAATAAAAAAAAAAATTATCAAATTGTCTACATAACACTTTTGGTAATATCCTAAAATTCTATATATAAAAAGAGAATGTAATACAGCAAATACATGATTTCTAAATTCATCATGACTCTGGATCTTACAAATATGCCAGCAGTCAGAGCTATCAAAAATAATATTTTTAGAATTAAAATACTAGAGTTGTTAATTTTCTAAAGATGGAGTAATTAGCCACCAGCCATAAGGTTCTTAGACAACTTCTGGGGAAAATACAAGATACATGTACTGTAATACAAACTATCTGAAACCAACTTTACCTGTACCTTTTTTACCATAGAAAAATTCTTATCTATTTTGGTTCAAATATTGGAAGGGTGCAACAAAAACCAGTGTTAGCATAACAACAACAAAATAACAAGATAACAAGAAATTCATAACTGAATCAAAAGATATAACGAAAGAATAGAAGAGAATAGAAACAAAAGTAATATATTTGAAGTTTAAATTTTATTTTTACTTGAAGGGTATTTTTTTTTTTTAGAAACATGTCTTTCTGAGGGATCAGAACCAATCTAGCAAGATGAAGTCATTGTTAATTGAAATGATTTTCCATGCTTGAAACACTGTCAATAAAAATTATGTGTATATATAACGATATATTCATGAACTTTCGTGCAGAAAGTGTTATTGTTGTTGTAACAAAGGTATTAAAGGGTATAAAGATGATTTTTTTTGTTTTATTTCGGTCTTGTTAGCATTGATAAATAAAACAAGATAAATTATAAAATAAAGAAATCAGAATGGAATCAAGTGGAAATCTTACGTCATTATACTCTACCATAATAGTAACATTGTTTTGTTCTGAAACACAAAGTCCTATAAATCAGTGAAAGCCAAAAGAAAAGAGAAAAGAAATTGAAGATAAACCAAAAATAGAAAAGACACCTCATGATACACATACACATATACTTAAATACTCGAGAAGAAAAAGAAAAAAAAAATAGAAGAAAAAAATTCAACAAAAATTAAGTACACATTTTACTTTTGCAAAATAATTCAAGCTTATAAATTTGCTGTGGACATAATAGATCTATTTACGAGTGCAGACAATTCAGTTAAGGACTGATTATTGAACATTAAATATAACAACCTTTAGTTCTTTTATCAAATATGTATATTCACTTTTAAGAATAAAACATAAAAATATCTTAATTAGTAATTCCCAACTTCTGGCCAAATTTTTATGTTTATTTTTACATTTTTGATTAAAAAAAATAAGGGTTTTTGACAAAATAAAGGGAACACTATCCAAGACAACAGACCATGCCTCCTCAATCAGTAGAAATGACATCTTATCTAGTCAAATTCTTTCCATAAATATTATTACATGTACTTCAATGATGGGAGTAATGAATTATTGAAATAATAATGAAATTCTTTATCTGAAATATACAGTAATAATTGATTATTAAGAATTTGACTAAATAGAAAAACCAACAAAATTAACCATGCCAAAGGAAAACTGAACTGAACATTAAAGAAATATCAACAATGTAAATACATGATTAATAGTAAGAAATGGCTGTAAGTGTGATTGTGTTAGTTGGTATAGGGCTATAGACATATTAACAAAGCTGTTACATTACTTTAAATATAGCAGAACAATTTCAGTTCCATAGTTACACATAGCTGGGTAGATTTGAGGCATTTTACTTTTTAAAAAACGAGAGCATCGCTAACGCTGCAATATACGTCCACATTCCAGCTTTGATTGATATGGTACTTTTTAAAATGAAGAGAATGAAATATGAAATGGCTGTAATATGATAAGAGGCAAAGTAGGCTAGTCGTTGGGTTTGTTTTGCCAAATTTACAGACAAAATACTAACAAAAAAGTGGGTGTGACACTGCCCCAGGAGGTCGGAGCAAGCATCAAAATAAATAGTTGCTGTCTTTACAGTATAAGGAATAAATATGCAAAGTTCCATTCAGAATTGCAGCCTGTAGACGATAAATACAAAAAATGGGCGTATCTCTGCCCGTGGGGGTTGAACATGGAAACAATATAAATAGGTACCACCCTGTTATTGAAATGACAACATCAATAGTTGCCGTCCTTAGGGTATAAGGAATAAATATACCAAGTTCCGAGATAATCCATCCAGAATTGGGGCTAAAGGCAAAAATTGGGCGTGGCTTTGCCCCTGCGGGTCGGGGCATTCACCAAAATCAATAGTTGATGCCCTTAGGCTATAAGGAATACATATGCCAAGTACCAAGTTGATCCATTCAGAATTCCGGCCTATAAACGATAAACACAAAAATTGGACGTGGCTCTGTCCCGGGGGGTCGGGATATGCAGTTGTCGTCCTTAGGCTATAAGGAATACATATCCCAAGTTCAAAGACAATCCATTAAGAATCGTAGCCTGTAGGCAACTCACAGAGACACAAAGAAAAAATGGGTGTGGTTCTGCCCCTGGGGTTGGGCAATCACCAACAAACAACAGGGGACATCCTTAGGGTATAAGGAATAGGTATGCAAAGTTTCAAAAGGATCTGTTAAGAATTGCGGCCTGTAGGCGACACAACAGGCACACAAACATTGAGTGTGGCTCTGTCCCAGGGGGTCGGGCATGCACCAAAAATAATAGAGGTCAGCCTTAGGGTATAAGGAATAAGTATAAAAAAGTTTTTAAGATGATCGATTAAGTATTGCAGGCTGTAAGTGACATACAGACACACAAAAAGAAAATGGGCGTGGCTCTGTTCCTGGGGGCTGGGCATTCACCACAAACAATAGGGATGTTCCTTAGGATAGAAGGAGTAAGTAGGCAAAGTTTCAAGGTGATACGTTAAGAAATGCGGTCTGTAAATGACCAACAATGAATACAAGAAATGGGCGTGGCTCTGCCACTGGGGGTCGGGCATGCACCAAAAACAATAGGGATCATCCTTAGGGTATAAGGAATTCATATGAAATTTTTTCAAGACGATCGATTAAGAATTGTGGCCTGTAGGCGACACACAGACACAAAAAAAATGGGCGTGGCTCTGTCCCTGGGGGTTGGGCATGCACCACAAACGATAGGGATGTTCCTTAGGGTACAAAGAATAAGTATGCAAAGTTTCGAGATGATACGTTAAGAAATGCGGCCTGTAGACGACAAACAAACAAATACAAGAAATGGGCGTGGCTCTGCCCCTTGGGATCGGGCATGCACCAAAAACAATAGGGGTCATCCTTGCGGTATAAGAAATAAGTATGTAAAGATTCAAGATGATCACTTAAGAATTGTGGCCTGTAGGCGACACACAGGCACACAAAAAGAAAATGGGCGTGGCTCTGCCCCTGCGGGTTGGGTATGCACCCCAAACGATCGGGATGTTCCTTAGGGTACAAAGAATAAGTATGCAAAGTTTCAAAATGATACGTTAAGAAATGCGGTCTGTAGACGACAAACAAATACAAACTAGAAATGGGCGTGGCTCTGCCCCGGGGGGTCGGGCATGCACCAAAAACAATAGGGATCTTCCTTGGGGTATAAGGAATAAGTATACCAAGTTTGAAGAAAATCCATGAAGAATTGCGCCCTGTAGGCGAACCACAGACACACACACACACACACACACACACATACATACATACACACACACACACACACACACACACACAGACAGGGGCGACGGCATAATACGTTCACATTATGAATGTGGACGTATAATAAAATTGATCTAATTTATTCATGATTATAATTTATATATCTATAAATGATTCATGTTATGATCTATTCTAGTAGTTATATTTCATAACCCATGCATTTATTAAGGGTATTATGGAAATTAAAATCGTAGTTTCACGCTAACCATTTATCGGTAGTGGATATAACTGTTGGATTTAAATCTAATAAGATACACTATGCTTGTGTTCTATGTAATACAAAACTAAAAATTCAAAATTACCCAGCAAAACCAATAACATAACATATAAACTAAAATTGAGAATGGTGACTAGAGTATCATCCATGCTACCTCACCTCTTTGCTGGAGAACAGCGTCATCGTATTGTTAGAAGGAATAAAAGGGGTGTGGGAGATTTTTTTTAAACAGGGGGAGTCTACAAACTACTCAAATTAAAATGCTATGGGTCAAGCATTCACACTATAGCAACACGCCAAACTGTGGGTCACCTCACATCCCTGACCTTGACAATGAACTCGAGACAGCTTAAAGCTCAACAATGTTTTATAATAGCTAAATTTACGTTTTAAAATGCTCAGGCATATATGATTGTTTGGTAAGATAATTAAAAAATTCCATTCCAAATCTGCACTTCGGAATGGAAATTATGAAGTGCAATTATCAGCAGGAAGATCTATGCTGATAAAAAGTGGGCAATCTATGTTCTAAGATATGTAAACTCACATCTATCTTAAAGAAATCTATGAAAAATATAAGAAATGAAATTATGGTTACTCTATGAAGTGACACTAATCAAATCACACATTAAATTATATGAATACTAGATGAATCTGTGCTTTCATGGATAAGAAATTTTAAAAATGAGATTACTGAATTAAATGTGTTTTGTTGTAGCAACAACATCGTCAAACTAATTAATTCTTATATCAAATCTATTAATGATTTGACTGAATGAAATATTTTAGATATCATTAGTGTATCAATGAGAATATATGTTGATTATACTAGTATGTTGATGTTACAAGTTAGGTGAAAAGTCTGAAATATATAATGAACAATGAAAATGGTGTTCCGTCACAAAAAAAGTAAGTGATTTTATATCAGAAAAATAATTTCTCTCTTCAAACTACAAATACAGTTTGTTTTAATAGGATTCCTGACTTATAGCATCATCGACTTCTATTCAAAATGAGTCAGATTTTGCACCCAACTTGTCTGTAGGCAACAAAATAAATTCAAAGCGGTTATTGGAGTTGGAATTTACCTATCAAGGGCCAAATCGAGGAGATCTTCGTAGCTGACACCCATTGAGTGCTTGTAGTGGGATAGAAGTAGAGGTGATATATCATCGGAGCTCATTGGATCAGAACTATTCCTTTCTGGCAGTAAAACCCTCTCTACCCAAAACTGGTCATGACTGTTATAAAATCCTAAATTCTCAAGACTGCACTTCACATTATCAAAACCAAACTTTTCTCGTGGAAAAGTCGGGGAGCTTATACTTATCATATTTGGGAAGGTTTCACTTTCAGTAAATACATTATCATCATTATCATCGGGATCAAGGTCAAGGTTAGGGTCAAGAGGTGGGGGAGGGGCAGGCGGGAGGTTAGGGGTAGGATCATGCATGGATTTATATCTCCTAATAACAGAACTAACAGAACACATGCCAGTGCTATTGGGACCTGAAACACTGCTGAGTGAAAGAGGATATTTGCGTTCTCTAGGTTTAGCATTCAGATTCCCTGGTCGGTTTGGATTTCGGGGAGGAAGAGGTAGTGGGTTAGCTGAATCATCCCCAGTACTCAAAGACCGTGTTGGTATTTTGGATGCATGCAAGGTCTTCTCTTTGGCAGCTTCCTGGCGACGATGAGCACTAGAATCCACACTGATAGAGTGCTGAAATGTAGGATTTCTAAATTCTAATTTAGGTATTCGAAGTGAAGACGTAGTAGTAACAAGATTTGTACCTGCACCACCTCGACTACTTCGCAACGGCAAAGCACCACCACGTAACATACGTAGAGGATTTGTATCAACTTCATCATCTTCTTCTGCTGTAGCTAGAGGTACTGATTTAACAGGAATTCCTTGAGGTTCTCTTAATTTTCGTGCGGCAGATAATTCCTCTCCAGTAACACCACGTTGATGATCTGCAGTTCTTCTCAAACGACTTTCCCGTGCAAGTTTATTCATAATCTCTCTTGGTGTGGGTTCTGCGATATCATCATCATTGAACAAAGAATTAATGATGGATTCTTTCTTTTCTTCTGCTGGTTCTGATTCTGCTTCGGAAGATAAATCTTTTTCAGCACTATTTTCCTCTTCACTAGGTTTATCCACAATGTCATCAGGTGAATCCATTCGTACAATTTCTATCGATTTTTTTACAATCTCGCGATCGTACGGTTTGACGGATTCTGTTGGACTAGATGGTAGAATAACAGAGGATTTTTTCTCCACTTTCAAGTCTTTGGGACTGCACTCCGGAGAGGGTACAGAGAATCGAGGTACAGGTTCAACACGATTTACATTGACCTCAGGTCGAGGTTTCGGAACTGGGATCTCAGAGCGATGCATTGGGGGAATTTCTGGTCGTTTGATGTCTATTCTAGGCTTAGGCATGGGTTTAGGAGGGGTTGGTCGGATATCTCGAGTAGGGATTTCACTAGAGCTACGTAATACTGAGTTAGAATTGTTCGTACGGTCCACTGTAATAGTACTATATGTAGCGGTTGTTATGTTCGATACGGAACGCTCTGGAGTTGATCTGGGTTGAACAGCAAAACGTTCTGGGGTCGTTCTTGGTTGAATATCTGAACGTTCCGGTGTTGTCCTGTTAAGTGAAACAGAACGTTCCGGTGTTGTCCTGTTAAGTGAAACAGAACGATCAGGTGTTGTTCTAACTTGAGTTATGTTTACAGAACGATCTGGAGTGCTTCTTGCAGCAATAACTGGACGCTCCGGGGTTACTCTGCTGAAACTTTTTTCTGTGCTACTAGTTGAATTAAAACTTCTCTCGGGACTTGAACTTTTCAAATCTTCAGTTCCTGAATCAAAGTCTTTCGAACCTTTAACCACTAGCATGTTGTATGCTTCTTGTTCCTCAGGTGGAATTTCATCACTTAAATCACTCTTTGTAGCAATATCATCTGAAAAGGTTCGTTTACGTTCTTGCTTAGGGCTTCGTTTTATAGAATTTTTTAATTTCGAAATTATATTGCCCGAATCATTAAGAGAAGAGTCAAAGTCAATGCGATTTTTATCAGTTTTAGGGGTATCAGGGGGACTTTGGGAAGAACATGTATCATTCATCATCTGATTTCTAGATGACTGGGCTGCAAATTCATTTGCCATGGCAATGGCATCCTCCATCATCTTTTGGTCGGAAGCAGACATAGGTTTGACTTTTGCCTGTTTCTTGGGTTCTGTTCTAGAATCTCTCTTGTTTTCCTGAAATAACAAAGACATATTTTACATTCCAATAAGTTTTGTCATGAAGAATACTAGATATTGTTTTATGTGCCTGAGAGAGAGAGAGCATGCTTCATTTTTCTATAACTAATCATTAGTTTACTATATTTTTATTTTATGAAAGTTCAACAACAATTTGGGGTACGATATGTCCTATATATTGAGAGAGGAAAATGAAATAGGTCAATTTTGAGATTCAAAACAAAATAATCTGAAATTCTATAATCGTTCTAAGAAAATGTTTATTGATGATATTCATGAACGTACACTTGATACCTCAAAATAGCTCTTTTTTTTTTTAAGTAACATCAGAAATGGACTGAAATGGTATCACACTATAGAAAGTGTTTATTGGCTGCCTTCATGACAAAACTTATAAATTATATTAACTTCAACTAAACTATCATTAAAATAAAGGGGTTTTCCTAAAATCATTATCATTTTCAAAGTAACATCAAATAAAGCAAAACAGCATGATATTAACAGAATATACACTGATAATTTAGATTCTGCTAAATTAAATATATAGAAGACGAAAATATTAAATACAGAAATAATTTTTTTGAGTCTAGGAAAACCCACATAAAAAAGTTAAAATTTTTGTGCTAAAGTGCTAAATGTTTACCATCTATTTACGATTAGAAATTTCAGTGCTCCTTCTAAGGTTCTACTTTTGCACTGTAAAATGAATTAATCTAAATACTGTTTAATAATAATGTGAGTTTTACCTTTAATAAAAATAAACCCTAAAAAAAACTACATTTCTGTCTCTATAAAGGTTAGTAGTAAAATCTTTATTTATAACTAATACCAAATATTAGGACGTCTCTCACAACACTAAATATTTGACTTACATGTAAACACAGTCTCAATTAGACTTGAACTGATGTGATCAGTCTGATAGAATCAATTTCAATAATAAACTATTCCTTTCAGTAGATGTATTGTATCTGTTAATTGGAATTAATCAGAGGTCAAGTGTCAATAGAAGTTTTACACCAATAACCCAAACAGGAAGACAATCTGATAAAAAGACCAAATTCCCTTTTACCATAAATAAAATAACTGTGCTTGTGTGACTAGCTGCTACTTTGTAATGTTATACAAGATTCAAGTATGTGATGGAAAAACTCACAGTTCTCGGTAGAGTTGTAGGTAATGGTGGGGGACCAGGACGTGAATCTCTATCATCTGGAGATGTAGATCGACTATGATCTTTGAGAGTTTTGTCTGGGCTTCCAGAAGATTTATCTGATGAGGCTTCCAATTGTTTCTCTTTTTCATCCAGTGCTCGTAATACTTCATCCATAAATGATGGTCCGAAATCAAAGCCTTCCTGAAATTCATAAAGCATCGTCCTTGATTTTCTTTAACAGTCAAAAATAAAATCTACATTATTTAGTTAAATGAATCAGAGAGATATAGATTTAGAGATGTATAAGACAGAATAATTCACACAAATAATCAGGGTTCAAAGAACTGCAATAAGGCTGTACAAAATGGGTTAATTTTAGACACAAAACTGTCATTATCTGCTTCACAGTGGTGTTTATGAGCACAATGAAAAAGAGTTACATGAGTTAGGCAAGTAAATTAAACTTTTATTACTGAAATGTCTGGAATTTTAAAATCAAAGAGAGCATCATCATTGATATCTTGATAGGGTGGGGTACCACGACCATTATGAGCATGACTATCCAGAGATTCTTGACTCATCCTGAAAATAAAGAGAAATGATTATAATAATCTTTAATTTTAACACCATAAATAAATAGTTGTCAGGTAACAAAACATTTGTACATAGCAGCATACTAACGTCAAGTATATAGCCTCATTTCATATCAAACCTTATCTTTACATTGTTCACATTAGTTGTATCATTTTTGGGAAACTCATTACACCTAACTTGTGCCATATTCTAACATGAAGAACTTGACATACAAGAATTTAATCATGGCATGTACTTCTTGTCCTTTGTTATCTTAGAGGGGGTGAATGCACAGCATCTATGTATAGTTATGTAAGCTGAATGGAGCTTTACAGTAAAATACTTGTGAAATGATTTCTTGAGGGTTCTAAATGACAAAAGCTCATTTTATAAAGGATAACTTGTGGGCGATCTTCTCAACAAATACTCACCAAGAATGAGCATAACCATTAGTTCCTTTATGACCATTTTCTCTTTCCGGACTATCACCATATCTTGGTATAGATGCCATAGATGATGCCTGACTGCTAACTTGAAGTGGTAGTTTATCATAATTGTCACCAATGAAGGAGACATCACCGAACACAGCACCATCATAACCAATGTGTCCAGTATGACGAAGATCTTGCTGTGGGCGACTGATCATATCCGCTCGTATCTTCCGTCCTGATTTACGACCAGACTCTGCAACATTAGAATCTGGATATGTTTTCATAAGAAAGAATGGTTCTCATGCCAAGACAAGGTTAGTAAAGTGTTAGAAAGCAGATTATACTATGACTAGGTGGAAAAGGTGATTTTGAGATTATGATTATACATTTGATTTTATTAGCTTTCCAAGTAGATCTCATCATTCTTCTCACAAAACTTTTTACAGATTCAAAATCGGATGAAAACTTTTTTTTTTATTGAGGCTCAAAGTTGCGATTTTTGACTTTTCGCGGAAGAAAGGTTTTTCAACACTTTGAAAAAGCCATTTTTGGTGTTTTTTGTGATGACATATTTCATTTCATATCAAACCTATTAAAAATGAAGATGTAAATTCATGAAATACAACTTTAAGGCTAATTATGCTTCAATTTTCACATTTTTGTAATAATTACACCGATTTCCACAGTAACTGCAAAATACATAGGTTTTCTCAAAAATTCCATTTTGTCAGAGCGATTTTGGTCAATTTTTTCATCAAAAATGGTCTTGTGCATGTTATATCTGAAATTTTGAACCTGGTTGTTATGCATTTTAAAATCAGTAGCTATCAAGTATGATTAACGAAAAAAAAAGAGTAAAAATATATATATGCCTTCTCTCAAGAGCTGAATATATGTTCATTTTTGAACAATTTTCCGCGGCACACAATTGCCTATTTTTGGGGTGTTTTTGGGACATTAATAAAATAAGAAGGAATGGAGATACACATGTGAAATTATGGGAATATGTCAAAAAGTTTGTGAATTTTTAAAATCACTTTTTTCCAATCCGCCATATATTATCAATTTTGGTTGTCATAGCAACCAAAATGGAAAAAATGCAATTTTTGACCATTTTCAACGCTACTTACCATAACCCAAAAGGTCATCACCACATTTTAAAGTAAGCAGTTTAAAATATTTGAAACCCATGTAATATTAAATGATATGGATTGTGTAAGTTTGAGAAAAATATGAAGGAGTTTGGGCTGTTACCATAGCAACCACATTTATTTTTTTCCGAAAAGCATTATTTTCCAATAATCATGACATCAATATTGATAATTGTATTATTTTAAAAACAGAAGCTATTGGACAAGATTTTAAAAAATAAATAAAATGAAAATATTTATATGTCTTCTCCCAAGAGCTGGAAAGGGGTTCCCTTTTGAAGAACATTCTGCAGTAGCTAGTTGTCCATTTTGGCCATTATTAAGACATAAATAAAATATAAAAGGAATTAAGATCTTGAAGAGAAATTTTGTTTACAAGTAAATATGTTTGTGAATTTTTAAAATTACTTATCTTTACTCTTATATATTACTTAATATTTGGTTTTTATAGCAATCAAAACGAAAACAAACACCCCAAAAAAGGCAATGTTATTCCATTTTCAATGATGTTTACCATGACAAACCAATTGATCGCCACATTTTAAGTACAGTAGCAGAAAGCTTTTTAGCATATATTTATAGCCCATGTAAAACAAAATATAAAGAATTATATAATTTTAGTGAATTATTAAGGATTTTGGATGGTTGTCATAGCAACCACATAATTTTAAAAAACGGACAACTCTTGTTGCATTATCATTGTTCTCAGCATTCCTTGCTTACATTATTGTTAGAATTCTGCTCAGAAGATAACATTGACCAATAAAAAATTATTCTCTAAAGACTAAAGAGTAAAAGTAGGTTACTCAGTTACTGATAGGCTATGGTAGGCCTAGTCATGTTTATAAAGGCCTAGGCCTAAAAGCTACAATTTAACTCAAAGAATTGTTATGTTTTTACTTTACTTTTGAATATTTATATTATTCCTTCAAATTGGTATGTAGCCCATTGAGCAGCTTCCTTTTTTGTATATTTTAATCAATGTAAACAAATATCGAATCAAGGCCCAATTAAGGCCTTAGGTTTGTCGGTTCATTCAATTGTTTAACTGGCCAACAAATATGTGATACTCGAGGTGTTAAATATATTTTCCTAAAAAAAAGAATTAAAATTATAATAATAAGTATGACAACTGTTCTATAATGCTAAATTATTTAGTAAAAACTAAAACGTTTTGCGAAAATTGGGTATCCGTATCAATACTGAGTGATGATAGTAATAGTAATTAGTATTGACATGACTGACCTAATTCATAATCTATGTTGGTTCCATCATCTCAAACGAAATGTTGCAAATCGCCAAAGGCAAATCCAGAAATTAAGCCATTTTTCAAATTATTTCAGCTAGTTGGTCCAACTTTATATATTTGGGTATAATATCCGTTTAAGTGGATAGAAATCAATGTACTAATTATCAGTAGTACCTATACTGTCTTCCTCACGCCTGCTGTCAGTACCAAGACCCGTGTGGATGTTTTCCGGTTTCATTTCCATTCGTGTGCACAGAAATGCTTTAAAATTGGGCTTGAATAATTCAGTGAACAGCGAATTTATGATTTCAGAGCATTGAAACATTCGTCAATTTTACGGAATTGTTCAATTCTTGAAAAATGTTTGGTGTTAAAAGTAAAGACGTGTGGTCGCCGATAGGAAATTTCCATTCGATTTTATATTTATATCCTGTCACATGGTTATAAAAGCGCGCGAATATGAGTCACGTGATGTAAACACAGTCAACCCAGCAAAGCCAAAAGGCGTGAAAAAAATGGAATTAACTATCCTTATTTATTTTCAGGCAAGTCCTTTATTCATATAACATAACGCTTACTTCATAAATAAACATCGGAGTTGCCTTTCGACGTAATTTACCGCGAATATGAGTCTAAGGAACATGGAATACATTTTAGTTTTGGTGTTGAAATGACGTCATAACAAGGCTAAACTACGCGATTTATTTTTGACAAAATTTCTCATTGTATACCATTTTCAATTGCTTGGCGGGCGCACTTGCCATGCTCCGATTTTGTTGATTTTAATAGCATCAAAACGACAATAAAACGAACTTTCAATTGGTCGGGGGTGCTATATTGACAAATCGCCTAAAAAAAAGATTGCGTGAATTGAAGCGTTCAACTTGCAAAAAATGCATGGTATTTCGAAATGCCAACAAAGCACCCCCGACCAATTGAAAGATCGTTCATTTATCTTTCTAATGATATTAGAATGAAAAAATAATATTAATAATAAGTGCGGCCGCCGTTCACTTGAAGTGGGGTACCCTCGTTTAAAAACGTGACAAAATTTTTCAGCGTAACGTCAAAACACGGGAAATTAACATTGTTCAACTTACGTTTATGAAATTAATAAAATGAACACATATATAAAAATTATATCAAACAAAAGAACAGGATATCGGCTTCCAAAATATTTTAAAATTATTACAAAATATTAAATAGCCACCGTATGACGTTAAGTTGAAAAGGGGTTACAAATCGGGAAAAAATGACTTTCTTCCAACGTGGGCAATGGAGCTGTGACACCTACTATGACAAAAATGAATGACTTATAACACTATAACACAAAAAGTAAAGCTTACAACATATAAATAAATTAAGTTTATTTTTTGCCACAAGAAGCACACAGAGGTCAAGACATTAAACTATGACAAAAGAAAAAGATTTTTGAATAGCAGACCATGCAAATCTATAAATATTGATAAACACTTTAAATTCAAACTTGGAAAATATCTTAAATCAATTTAAAATTCTTATATGCAAGATTTCAAAATCATGGGAGAGAGAAAAATAGACGTTAGGGGCACACCATGTTCCTGAAGCAATGACCGCGAGTTTTACAACATCTAGCCGTTGCTTCAATACTCAACAATTCCCAAATTTTTGTGCTCGTTGTGTTTACACGTGACTTATTAGCATTGTCCAATCAGAGGTCGTGGCACATAACACACTGTAAACAAATAGGGGCACACCATGTTCCTGAAGCAATGACCGCGAGTTTTACAACATCTAGCCGTTGCTTCAATACTCAACAATTCCCGAATTTTTGTGCTCGTTGTGTTTACACGTGACTTATTAGCATTGTCCAATCAGAGGTCATGGCACATAACACACTGTAAACAAATATGGCGGCCTCCATAGAAAAAGAATTAGACAAGTTTACAGCCTTTGTTGATCAAATATGATTTCCAGCAACCTTGACATTGATCAAACCTTGAACTTTGCAACTCGATTGTCACATGTAGACATTTTAGCTAGAAGTGCGAGACTTGATAATCGTAACCATATTTTTAACGAAGGAATCTGATAGGATCACAAGCTGGGCTTATACCCAATTGAAATTAGTGCTAAAATATGCGGGGTATTACGTGAAGGGCTTGATAAGTTGTACGTAGTTAAGGCGAGATCAAGCCTTCTATTGAAGATGGGGGCACACAGAATCTGGACAAATATGGCAATATCTCAAACTATCTGTAATGGTTCTCAATCTATAGTTATTCAAGACTGCAGCAGGGCATATTCAAGCACACTTATTTGATTAGGCATTTGATAAAACTTGTCATTTTAAACCGTGACCTCAACTCCCCCGACAATATTCATGCCAAACCAAACCATGCAAAAGAATAATACAATGATAAACCGTATCCAATGAGAAGCTGAAGGACCAAAAATAAAATAAATTGAACATACCTTTTCTAACAAGTGAGGTTTTTGGTAAGGCTATAGGGCTGGTTTTTGGTTCTATAAAGGGTACTGTATTAGTTGGATCGAACCAACCACATTTACCATTATTTAATACACCCTTCCATAAACCTGGTATTGGTGGGGCAGCTGGTCTAAACAAGAGAGAAAGAAATTGGTTTTTACAGATGACAAACTATTTCATAGTCCCAGAAGCCCTAGATAATATCTCTATTTTGTGTAAACAGTGAGACAAAAAAACTTACACTAATAAAAGTCTGTAAAGAGTAATCCTTTAGAACTGATCCGTCCTTATTGATTATGTTTATATTTATTATTTAAATTTTTGACCAGACACTCACTGTTGACAAGAAATCACCACACACATTGTGAAAGATGATTGTTCACAAAGCATATATTATGACTTGGAAAGGCTGTCACAGTTACCTGGTGTATAGACTTATCATACTCACTTTGTATCTAGCACTATTATAACATCATAAGCTTTATAATATAAATAATCTTTCTGTAAAGTAACCGCAGGAAAATCTTTCTGGGCTTTAACTTGTACCGGCCTCATCTATAATAAATACAATTATTATTAAAGATCAACAACATTACATTACTTTTGTAGTGGTCTCAAAATTGGTTGCAAGGTCGTAGAATACTGAAGATCAATAGAGTTCATCCTCTGATTATGATGACTCCAAATGTTGTTATTAACATCCTGACGGGTTGTGTTTATTTCTAAGATAATCCAGATATTCATTGTACATATCAAATAGTGGTGGCAGATTCTAAAACCTAAGCAAACCATTCAGGGAATGTTATACTCTATTTCCATTTTTAGAGGTCAGAAAATGGGCCATCCAACAAATTGTGTTAAGCTTAAATATATTCAAGGACATGGAATGTCAACAGTGGGTGTATGAAGCGAATAAATTACTACAGTGTAAAATGCAGACTTAACAGCTAGAGATTTGGTGCAGATGTCTAGACAAGAGACATCAAATATATAAAGATTGTAAAGTTTATTCTATACCTGAGGTATTTTTAGAAATATTTGACTAAATGTTGGTCTATCTTCAGGTTCATGGTCCCAACATGTTAACATAAGATCGTAATAGTCTTTAGGACATAAATCTGGTTTCTCCAATCTCTGACACTGTGGTTTATCAATGGTATCTAAAATCTATATAAAAGATAGAACAAAGATAATACAACATAATAATTACATATCAACTTTCAAATTCAAGACCAAAAAAACATTCATGAGTTAATTTGTCACTGTTTTGGGTTTTATATTACACACACACTAACAACCATGCCTGTGTTTATTTTAGAATGATGTATCAGAAATATGTCATCATGCCACAAGTCCCTTTTGAGAAAATATTCAAATGCATAGGTTTGAATATCTAGACACTATATAATATGGAATGCTGTTCTATTTGGGGTTGACTAGCTGAGACATTAAATATTTACCACCTCCGACAAGGGAAGGCTGTGTTGGAAAACTATTCCCAGCTTAGGCTGCGATTCAAACCGAGGATATTCTAGTTGACTACCACAACCCCCCTACTCCCCTAAGGCAGTGCAAAGGAAAACCTAGCTATTCATATGTAATTTAATATACCTGTTGCCCCGTTAAACCAGACCAGGGTTGGAAGCCATATGTAAACATCTCCCATAACGTAACACCAAACGCCCAAACATCACTAGCAGATGTAAACTTTAAATAATTTATACTTTCTGGAGCACACCTGTAAAAAAAAACATTATTACATTACATTACTTCTACCCAAAAAGTATAAATAATTCTACCTCCTTGATTCTACAGCAATCAAAGATTGAACAATATGATAACAATTTTTATTCTAAAAGTATAAATGATTCTACTTCATTGATTCCAATACAATCAAAGATGTACAAAACCGTTTCAACTTATAAATCTTATACATTAGGTTTTTTGTAAATTTAGTTTACCGGTATTTAATACCTTATCAACTAAATTATCTTCCTCAGCGTTCAATTAAAAAAAAGAAAATTTTTTTGCATACACTCCAGACTAATTTTGTGATATTACTTCAAATACTAAATAAATGAAAATATAAATTCCTTTCGGTCTACAATTATTCTGGTCTTAAAGGTCTATTCCAATTTGTTCAGATCAATCAATCATAGCAATATGTAGGTCCACTGCCACTCTGCTGGAATCAATTCCAAGTCAACTTTGAGGCTTTAGATTGATTACTAAATAAATAAGTATAACTATCCGTCTAGGACATTTTGACATCAATTATTGTCATCGTAATAATAACTAGTCAGTCCTCTAAATTGACAATTTTTGCCAGTCAATTCCCAATTGTGAAAACTAATAGTCCATCAAGTAGAATGCTAAGAAATTCAAATATTTTACTTAATTCCACTTAAAGGGTACTAGTTCTTTGAAATAGCGGATACAAGAGTCAATTACCTATATTCAATTTACCGAGTTGCTTTGAGGACTGCCTATCTGCCCAAAATTACATTTTCCTGTCTGTAGATCAAGTCAATATCTAGCCAAAAATGATACCAATGTTAGGTAACAAACTGATATCGGTTTAATCTGACTCAATGAAAACGTAATTGTATGGAGCTCTCCATCACATCACATCAATCCCATTCAACATTGTATTTTTACTTGCTTTAATAGCTTCAATTCAATTTTTTTTTAAGTAAAAGACCTGTGACTTACCATGCTATAGGAAGTTTTAAACTTGTACTAAAATTACTTTGATAGTAATCTTTACCAATACCTAACGCTCGCGATAATCCAAAATCGGAAACTTTCACCTAAAGATACAAATAAACAAATAATAAGTATAAATCTCAAATATTTCAAAAGTATAATTTTTTTATCCGGAACTACAAGATCAATCAATACCCAAGGGGAAGCAACTCTTTCAAGCATAGCAAACTGATATGCATAATCAGCTGCGCATTTGTCAAAACATGGATTCCCACCCATATCAATATCATTAAGTAAACAGGATTAAACCCAGTGTTGGAACCTGAAAGTTTGTTATACTGCACTGTCGTCCGCATAATTACGTTAGGCAAGATGTCTTCACTTAACCCATATTTTACAGCAAGATATTTATTTCAAGATAAATTTTTAATTCAAACTCAAATTCTAAATTCCGACAGCTTATTTCTAGCAATATTTTACGCCCCAAACACTTTGCTTAAAAACATATGCTCCCCACAACACTATGAACAAACATATCAAATTATATTTAATATTTTCTCAACCTCATATCATGTTGTTGACTTGAATTCTATCTTATTTTGGAATGGTATATAAATGTCCATATGGAAAAATAATCAAGCAAATGGGCATCTCATACCTTATGTTTAGAGAAGACCAGAATATTCCTAGCTGCTAAATCTCGATGTATTAACCGTTTACTTTCTAAGTAGCTCATTCCATCACATATCTGTTGAGCGAAGTCACAGAGTCGAGGAATGGGGAAATCTAAACGTCTTGATGGTTCTTTCAGACATTCTAATAACGATCTCATAGGTGCTAATTCTGTTACCTGAAAATATTAACATTGATTTTGTATATAGAGTATTTGACTAAATAGGAGGTCCATCATATTGCTTGCAACAGATAATATAGAGAGTTACATGTGACGAGAATGAAACATGCAATGTCCAGTCAAATTTCTTCCTGTGTTTATTTCTGTCCACCAAATAGTGAAATAAAAGGCACATGCTCACTATAGTAGCCTATATGTGCACCTAATTGGCCAAATTGGATTATGTTGTTTTTGTAATTCACAGACAGAACTTATGTTTTCGTACTATAGACACAAGTAATTCACAAATAGGACTACAATGTTTTCTTAATCACATAAAGGACTACACAATGTTTTCGTATTATAAACACAAGCAATTCACATCAACAGCCACATCAACACATATTGATAGGTAATAAACACGCTTTTTCTACACATGATCCTGAATAACCATTAGTTCTTCAATCTTATAATTTATGACTATATGGGTGAAAGCAAATAAATCTCTGAATTAGAGCCCCATGAAGATAAGACATTAGCAAAATTTGTGCTGAAAAGCATAAAAATAATTCCCAAGTTTGTTAGCTACAAAGTCGTCTAATTAATTATGTTGTATTGGACACCATCTTATACCTTATTAAATCAATTTTCTGATTTTCTAATATCATAAGAGGAACAATTGATTATTTCCTTTAAACCTATCTCTTTGATGCATTATACCACTTTATACAAATTTTATTCTGGTGTAAACTTAATTATTTAAATACTTTTAAAGAAAATGCTAATCAACAGATAAAGGCACTTGAAGTAAAAGTGTATTACACGTCTTAATGAAGCCTCTGATTGCGATAAAAGGGATTTTGAATAGCTTGCGAACTACAATATCATTAACGAGGAATTTCTAAAAGGAATATCAGTTCAAAAATGGATCAATTTCATTCAGAATATCACAAAGATATTATGAAATGAAAATTCCCCAATAATCAACAGGCAATATAATGAGCCCAGTGTTGGGTAAATTCTTTTTAATCTGATTGAATCCAAGCTGGGAGATTATCTACTGCTAACAATTTAGTGCGTTTCCACTATGCCGGCAGACTGTTAATCCTTTAATTGATCTTAAAACTATACTCTGTTTAAAAGTAGTCACTCAAGAACTGATCACTAGTGTTCAGCATTAGTGTTCAGTGCCATCCTAATATTTACAAGTTCATTAACTTAATAAAACAAGAACAATCTTATGTCAAAATCACCATTTCACAGATATTATTTGGTGGTACCAAAAGGCCTTGAGTTAAGAAATATCGACAACTTTATACAAGAATTGACCATTTGAAAACACAGTTATTAAATGGCACTTTAAGTGTAAATCAGTATGGAACAAATATTTCCTATTTAGTAGGGCTGTAAAATGATTGTTATGTTGTAAGGCATTTATTTATAAATTATATGATGCTATTTAATGAAAGTTAAATGTGTAAATTGTAATGCCTTTTTATGAGTAAAATATTTAATTTTATTTAATAAATTTTAAATTTCATATTAAAATCAATACATTTTTATATGTGTAAATTATTTAATGTTATTTAATAAAAGTTAAATTTGTTAAAATCAATACAGTTTTATACTTAAAAAAGATATGGACTATAGTTTATAACATCATTGTTCTAGGATTAACGGCAAAATTTGACATCAAAGCCTGCCGGCAAAGTGAGTGGGAACACCCCGACAATTTGAGTACATTTTAGAGTTGATTATACTGTAAATATTAGATAATACAACTGATGATCAGCATCTTTAAAGCAAATATATAAGCAACCAAATTCATTTAACGATTTTGATATTTTGAATGTTAAAGATACATTCCCGGGTACAAACTGGGTGATTAGATGATATATTTGGACTAAAAACATATTCAAACTAATTAATTTATCATAATTTTGCTTCAAATCCTTCTCAAAACATTGCAATTGTCAGGGAATACCCTGGCTATAAAAAATCGATCAAAAGAGGTCATATTTGTGTCTCGTGACTTACCTCTCGCTGACTATTTATTACAAAGAGAGAGAGAGAAATGGGGTTTAACGTCCACTCGACACAAACTAGGTCATTTAGGGACTAACATATGGTTTTAATTTTATTTACACAATTTGCCTGCGCGTAGGGGTCTTTAGCAGTGGGAGGAAACCGGAGGCCCCGGAGAAAACCCACGAGGTTGGACAGGCGACCCTACTCCTTGCCACGTACAACCGGGGATTCGAAACCACGCCAGTCGACTCAATGACAGACTTTATGATACAGCGCGCGCACGCTAACCATTCAGCCATCCAACCCCCCTATTTATTACAAATATCGAAGCCTAATTAAATTTTGGATTATCCACTGCCCGCGTCTTTTTCCACGATTTTTATCTCAGAAAGTGTTGTATGTCTAATTCTTCATAAAGTTTAACAAAATGTACATCAAGCGCTCAGTCTCTGCATGCAACCTTCGACGTCACACGTGCAGACACTCTTAATCGTCGGGATGTCGATTGGAAACCCTTACATTTTTGTCCTGTATGCGCTCCATGAGTATTTTTCTAGTAAGATTGGATATTTCTACTTTGCATATATACCAAAATTGCCATACTTTTATTGGAAATAACCACCCGATAAATACTTTTCTGGGAACGTAGCTTTAAGCAAGTTCAAGGTCAACATTTATAATCAATGTACACCACTTTACATTGACAAATATAATCAATATGATACCAAATCATATAATATCCAGAAGACATCCAATGACAGGAATATTGTATAGACATCTATCTAGTCTTGGTTCTTGGAGTAAACATATTAATCTTTGTATTAAACACCAGAGAATATCTATTACTTAAAAATGACTCTCCTACTACTCCTGTAAAAGTTGTGCACATTATTTTTACATTGACAACGTGGAAACTGACTTTGAGAATCCTGTTTTTTTTTTCTTGCATCAACACTTACCAACATTAATGAATTATCTTTATCTAAAACTACACCAAACATCCGAACTATATTTTCATGATCAATTGTCTGCATATTAGCTGCTTCTTGTAAAAATTCCTGGGTTCCATTCTGCATTCTTTCTTTACTTAAACATTTTATTGCTACTTGAACCTGCAGGCAAAAATTAAAAGATGTCAAACAGCCATATCTAAACATTTTTATTAATATTATTTTGACAATTGGTTTTCATGCAACACACATGACACTTCCCATTTATCACGGATCTCCCAACATAGTCAAATCAGTAATCTGAGTATAACAACTATTTTTTACAATTGTTTGACTCATTTATAAAGGGGAAGTCACAGATTTCATAAAATGCATTAAAGATACAGTATGGGAGATTAGATAAAGAGCTGGCAGTTTTTACTATAGTTAAAAACTAGATAATGTAAAGGGAATTTGCTGAAAATTTCAGTCAAATTGATCCACTCTGAACCAAGATTTTAGCGATTGAATTTTCGCCCTAGCCTCGATCATCATTACTAAAGTCGGTACGATAAAAAAAATTAGTCTTGATTATCCATCCATGTCATGATTAAATTACGAATGGAAGTCCAACAAATCGGAACCTAATCCAACAAACATTGCAGACTAACGATGACATCGAGAGTTGATTATGGTCTGGATAAGTTAAATAATATCTAATTAATAATTTAGATAACATTTCAGGCCTAAAGAAAGACCTGCAATAGGCAGATTTAGCGCTTCTATAATGTACATGTATGTTTAAATAGAAGTAGGTTAATGCCAAAAGTTACAAAGTACCATATCTCAATTGCCTGGTCTGAAAGTTTCAAATCCTGTGGTGGACAGCTGGTGTCAAGCAAAGTTTTTTAGCATTACAATCTGGGTTTCTTTTTCATAAGTTTGAAAATTAAAAGAAATTTGGATGTTGATGTTGCCATTTTAACATTTCTCACCTTATCACCATCCTCAGTCGTCCAGACACCTTGTTGAACGACACCAAACTCTCCTTCACCTAATGTTTTATTGATACTGATACAGTCTGCTGGTATAATTTGTTTACCCGGTGTACGAATATAAGATACTGGGCGATTTTCTGGTGGTGATGGACTTGATGGTCTGTTTTGGGCTGTAGAATTACCTCTTGTTATAGCCTGTAAATAAAGTTATGACATGTCATATATCTTTATTTCCATGTTATTATTGCTTGTTTTGGTAGCAGTAATGAAAATGCACCATAACCCACAAAATCTAGAAAGGTAGACTTGTTGTTCCAAGAAAACTAAATAGTGGGTCAAATTTCAAGTTCAGATATGTACTGTACTATTAATTTACAGTTTCATTTGATCATAAATGTAACAGAAATTAATTCCCACAGGATCAAATATTCATGTTGCCATGTAGAGAAGACCTAAATCTCTATCAACCAGTCTAGATTGAATCACAACCAAAAACAAATCAATATGTTTAGAAGTGGGTCAGTTTTAGAAATAATATACAACTTTCACTTTGGTCGGTCATTAATCAGTTTATTATTCAGTTTAGGATATTAAATGTCAATTGTTATTAGTACTATTACATGTAATTTCCTTTCAGTAATCTTAATTTTTCTTTTAAATACCAATAGCTCCTAATATCCTCTTAGTCTAAATGGCTTCAATCCAAATTGTTTCTGCTTGGACTGCAATGAATATTGGTCTGGACAAGCAACAACAGTTGTGTAGGAAACTGTCTGCCTGGCTGTTGCAAATACAGTTCATGTAGGGATTAATGGAAAATTTTGTCTCAATCCATCAATTAACAATGTTTTCTGCATTCTTCCAATTCCAAGGCAGAATTGTTCAATGTTATTGTTTGAATTACAATTAAGATAACATAATTTGGTAATTATCAAAGCCAAATGCAATAATAAATCCATGCAATGTATATTACAAGCCACTCAATTTGACTAGCAATATGACCATTTATAATCTCAAAAATATTTAGCCGATTTTTTTTATCACTGTCTTTGTGGACTACACTATATTCCTCGTCAACCAGTCTACGTGCAATCTGATTAAAATACAGATTTTTTTGGTTTCATTTTTTTACTGGAAGGTCACGTCAGGAGTCAAACAAGTGGCTTTTGACCTTATGACATCAGACATTGATTAATCAATCAGCGCGGGTTTGCCCAACATTCCGTGCAGAGCACGCCAAGAACTCGCTGTAATAAACTGTTTCATTGGCTAATTCCTCACATCAACTAGAATGCCTGTTATTTAACAACTTTTCCAGATCCTAGTGTTGTGAAGACAAGTAAAATGAAATTTTGAACTATAAAAAATGAAACGAAATAGAATCTGTGTTTTAATCAGATTGGTCTACTCATACTATGTAATTAATTTCCCAAACATGGGCTTCAGGTAAAAAAAAAAAAAAAAAACGTTTGAAGATCATAGAAAGATTTTGAAGCACAAGAAGTTCATTTCAAAGAAAAATTTGTTCAGAGCTACTTAGCTCTGGTGGTGATCACAATTACTGAATGGTTAGGTGAGAATCTGCATATATAACAGAATAAAACACTGGGTAACAAAACAATAACAATTTTTTTATGTAACTGTTTATGTTTGTTTTTTTGCTAATCATTGGAAATATTATACATACATGTATATAAGTTTTGGCACCTTATCTAAAATATATTTTTTTTTTAACAGATCGTTTCGCTGAATTAGTACCTACAAATTTATATAATATCGAAAGCTAAGTTATTTTCTAAATGTACATCTAAAACTAACATATTTAATAAGGTAAGATGTAACCATTTATTTATCCCTATTTCATATGTTTTTGAAGATGTTACAGGTCTATATATATGCCTCATTAATTTTTATCTCAGCTCCAAGTACTATTAAAGAGGAGATTGCAAGACAGCACCACCCACTTCCTGCATAAGGTACATGGCCTAAATCTAAAGATATGAACACTTCAGTCAGAGTTAGTTTGAAGTAGTAGACTGTGGAAATATTTATTTCAAAATGGCTGATAATACAATATCTAGTTACTGATAGGTAGTGTTTTATTATCAGATATAGTTCTGATCTTTGATAACCCACAGAGCAGATAAAAGCTTTAAAACTCATGGAACTTGTTAACTAAATTTTCACCAAACTTCTTTGAAATAAATCTTTCAAGAATTTTAATTCAAATCAGCTTTTCAATCATCATATTGCAAAGCTCAAATCAATAGAAATACCAAAATTTAAGCAAAACACTTGAGGATGAGTTTATAAGTGTCAGGGCAACTAAAATTATTAAAATAGGTTAGGTCAAAATGATCTCTTTCCACAACTTTGCAAATTATGAATGGTTCAGTTATATTTTATAGATTAATGATAACAGTAATCACAAAATTTATACCAATTTTACAATTACAGCTGTGTAAAGGATTCATCACTTATCAGTTAAAACAGTTTTCCAATAAAAATAAAATGTGTATATATATGTATGTATGACAACTAAGGTTTAACACAATGAGAACATACCAAGCCTCTTTATTTCCTGTTAGAAGCACACAAACACAATATCAATGTACTCTATATGTCGTTTATCTCACACAAAAAATGATTGTACAGAAACCCTGTAATGTCAATATTAGTTGAAAACTTGAAAGACTTTGAAAAAGTGATAAATTAAGGAAGAATATATGAGTAAGATAGTTAAAATAGAAAAAAAAAAGGTGTTACATTTTGCTGGGGCATGCACTGAGATTTGAGCCTTTGAGTTTAGAAGTGAAGCATGTGTAACATTGTGAGATTTGCTGTGCGAGTTCACTCGACTCCTGCTGTCAAAAAGATGATTTAAACGCGAAAAGCAGATGTTGGTGTTCATCTTGCATAACCCAAATCCTACTTATTTTAGTCCTGTGAAAACTTGATGTGAAACATTATCAAATTTCACAATGTTGTAGCTCTGGGTGGCCTAATCTTTTCAATGAAAAACATTCCTTCTGATTAGTTATATGCAAATTTAATTCATTAGAAAGTATTAATAGGTTAATGAGAGTAATTTTGGAAATGAAGAAATAGTCTAATATACTAATAACTTTACAATTTACATGTATGTTTATCAAATTTACATTACCAGGATATTTTTACACAAAATATCTATTACAATTACTCCTTATTTAGAAACTTATTTTTCTTACAGTTGATTTTCATCATATATCATAATTGATTGGAATAATTTGGATTTTATCATTAAAATTAGTGTGCTTTTAATTGAAAATTTTAGTCTACAATGTATATATTGATTTTCATTAGAAATAATATAAATATTTCCAAACACCAACACAAAAACAACAGCCAGTGAGAAATACAAATTGGTCCCTGTTACTAACTTTAATTAAATGAGATCAAATATTTTAAAAACTAGATACTATTTCAAGTGAATTCATAAAACTGGGTTTACGATAAATACAAATAAAACAAAAACTATGTGCCTAACACACTCCAAGTTAACAAATAACTCACATAATTTTATGTATAATGGAAAATATTTAGAAAACGTTCATGAATTCAATTATCTTGGAACCGTCATATCAGACACTGGCTCTTGTTTAGCTGCCATGGATAACTTGACACAGAAAGGAAGTAAGGCATTTAACATTATGATTAACAAATTATAAAAAATAAATCCAGATCCGTATCTTGTAAAGAAACTTTTTATCTCCCAAATTCGGCCGATCATTACATATAATTCGGATATATGGTTCATGGATATAGACGAAAAACAACAAAAAGCTAAAAACAGATGTACTTTAAAAGACAAATATTTTGATCATCTTTCGTATATAGATTCAACAATGATAGAAAAATTGAACATTAAAATGTGCAAATATGCCTTAGAAACAAGCAGAAAGAGTATCAACATAGCTGTATGTGCAGAAATGGGATGCACGCCAATTGAAAGCTTTATTAGATGTTTAGCACTTAAAAATTATGAAAGAATTACGAAACTACCAACTTCAAATTTAACAAGACTTGCTTTGATTGAAAATCAAAAGATGCATGCAGACGGAAGATATAGCTGGTTTTCATTTATAAAGAATTGTGAAAATATAAAATCAAGCATAGATTTGAAATCGTACTATAATAATTTACTGTCCGAAAAAATAAATAATAATAATGGCCGTGATGGAACGTCCTTCAATAAGTTAAGGACATATGCAATTATAAAAAATGATATAAATTATGAAAATTATTTAGATGTGATAAGAAATCGAAAACACAGAAAAGCACTAACAAATCTAAGAATAAGCGCACATAAATTGAAAATCGAAACAGGGAGATATTTAAAATTAGAAGTAAACGATCGTTTGTGTAATGTATGTCAAGAGGTAGAAGACGAAATTCATTTGATAACAAATTGTAAAAGACATGACGAAAAAAGAAAAGAACTGTACAGATTAATTCTAGTTCGTGAACCAAATTTTTATAAACTGAATGATTTACAACAATTTAAAATACTGATGATGAATAAAAATACAGAAATTTTAAAATGTTTAGGAGCATTTGTATACAATTCGTTTATGTCTTTGTAAAGCTGTGTATCTTTGTATAATTATGTCCATGTATGTATCCTTTGTTTGTTTCATGTATTTTTTCTATTATGTTTATTTGTATATGCACATAGCCTTGTAAGGTTTTTATGCAATAAAGTTTCTTCTATAATCTTACAATTTTGATTTGGTTCCTTCAGTTGTTAACAATTAGTTTATTAAATATCAAATTACAGAAACATGATGCTATAGGAAAGTATATATAATATTTAATGGTTGTGAAGGTGGAAAATATCTCTTATCACCTTATAATACAGGCTAATTATTAATCTGGTGGTATGGTATTAATCTTGTCAAGATATAAATACATGAACCTATATCCAGCTATCATTAGTAAATTAACTTACTCTGACATACCATATTTACCTCAATAATTGATAAGATACAATAACAGGGAGGATTCATAAAATTTGGGTTTTAAAGGGATGGGAGAATGTTAAAATGAAATGGGGTTTAACGTCCTACTGTTCTGCTCTGACTGGGCTAATGAAGAGTCATATACCATACAGTGTGCTGAGAGAAATTTGCCAGGACAGCGGCACTGCGGCCTACTCTTATATAGAATTCCAACTGCCAAGGGATCTTTAGCATGCACGCCAATGTGAACACTTGACCTTGGTTTTTCATCCCATCCAAAGGACTATACACTGTCCGTTGCCAGGCCCTCTGTCCTGCACCACTGACAAGGGGAACCACAGCGGAAAATTCTCAATGAACTTTCTTGGCCAGCGCATGGATCAAACATGGAACCTCCGGGTTAGTGAGCCAATGTCTTACTCACTGAGTCACCGTGGCTCCCAGGAGAACTACAATGTAACATAGGCTTTGTCTCAGTATATAGGCCCTAAATAGTGAATATAAATTTCAAGTAAATCTGATTATAAGATTAGTTTTGCTAGAGTGCCCCAAGGACCTTTCAATGAGATCAAGGGACATAACTCTACCAGTAATAATCAGAAATCACTGAAAATCAGCAAAAAGCATATCATGTCAAAAACTATTTAAATCATTTAATGCTTGAGTATGTTTATAGACATTTAAATTTCATATTACGTTCTATTAATTCCATGAGGTCATCTTCAATCTTTTGTTATTGTCTGTCAATGTGTGAACCTGGTTTATCCTTGAACATCAAGACCAAGAATGTTTAATCACCTGAAATACTCTCTCTAAGGGACAATTTTCAACCCCATATATTTTTTTTTTAATTTAAATAAGGAAAATATTTAATGGCCTCTGTATTGTGCCTTTAATATATGGTACATTTCACATTCAAATCAGTTTTATTTAAATTATGAACCATAAACAGGATCCATCAAGCTAAAGCTGTAAGTTTTTAAAGTCTCTTTAACTTTAACAATGTTATGCATTACAATTTTGTTTTCTTGTCTTTTGCTTTAGAAATACGAATTTCAGCTAATCTGCAGCTCAAACTCATAAATAATATAAAAAATGTAATAAAATTTTATTGCTGTATTAGCTTAATGTAATTAAAGTTTTCCACACTAAATAAATTATTGTGAATTTACCCAACTCCTTGTAATCAATAATTGTATGTTTTGGATTAGACGATTCCAGAAGGCAAACATAAAAGATTATTTGTTTTTCTCACTATCAGGAGAATCTGACTTAACTTACAGATCACTTAATACAAAGTTACTTTATTCAAATAACATCTAAAAAAAAATCTATTAATCTTTAACTGAAAAGAATGCCAATATATTTTAACATTGTTTGGGGTTATAATAATTGAACCAATTAAAGACTCAAAATGGACAAATACTCTTCTGTCACCAGCCTAACAAAGATCTCTAACAAATTAATAATGTATGAGAAGAGAGAAGAAATTTCAATCAATCAATCTATGATCTCTATGTACATGATACATTATTTACTTTAAAAAAAGCTATGCCATACTGTATGTTATTTGAAAACCATCAATCACTTCTATAAATATCTTGACTGACAGTACTTCATATAACAAGAATGTAGACTGAACACATATTTGACATTGTCAGCTGAATAATTTTAAATGTAATAAAAATGTTCTATTTTATTAACAACAAGTAGGTCAAACTTGACATTTATTTTGATTATACTTTGTAAATTGAATAAATTAAAATATTAACTGGATTTATTCTAAACACAGCTAATCTCGAATTGTTCAAGCTGCTGATTATCCTTTGTATTTTCGAATAACATCTAATTTTTCACAGCTTAATAATAATCCCATGCTAAAATATATTCAAATTAATTATTCAACATTTAATGAAATAAACAAAGCCAAATTATCAATGGTAGGTTATCTTGTGACATGGATTCAAATCAAATTAAAAAGGGTCCATCAAAAGATTAACCGATTTACAAATTCAATTTGCACAATATTGTAGTTAGCAAGGAATTTAATCCCTCAAATGACAATCAGAAGCTTAAACAATCATTTTTCATTGAACAGCCATTTCACGTTATAAATGAAATCAAGAAGTAATGTTTTAGTTTGTTTTAAACTGCCTTAGGATATATATTTAATGACAACACCGCCAATCACTTGCAACATCTATGATGACGATTTTCAAATTTGTACAGCTTAATACGCACATTTTTTAATGGCTAGTAAGCTTCTTGAGCATGACGATAATACCTGTATGTATATATATGATTCAACTATAAATCCTTTCCTTGTCAAAACAAATATATTTAAATACCATATAATAGAATATTAACGGGGAAGATTATATTACAACAGACATAGGGGATTCATTGCAAATATTTGCAGAAATCCAAATTTGTTGCTTTATGGAGCCAAAAAAATTGGAATAAGCATCATCTGAATAAAATGGCTACTGTACTAAATTTGAATGCCATAAATGAATTTGTTTCGGACAAGATATCAAAGGTGACTCTACCCGGCACCAGATCAATCTCAGTTTAACAAATGTAAATTACTGTCATCCAAGCCAAGCAACATACCATCAAATATGATTTAAATTTATAACGTGGTTAAGGAGAAGAAGTCGTTAATGTGAGAAAATGTCTAAATTTTACCCATATAAATGTAGCCTTGCCCCATCCCAACAGTGCTGATCAACTTCAGTTTTACAAATCTGAATAAGCACCACACAAGCAACATACCTACCAGCTATGTTTAAAATGAATCAAGTGGTTTTAAGCAGAAGTTTTCCAAAATGTATGAAAAAGTCTAATATATTTTACATTTAAGTTGTCCTGTCCTTGCCCCACCCTGTCCTTCGCTTCCCCCATCGCACCAATCAACTTTAGTTTTATAAATCTGAATAAGCAACATCAAATCAATATATATGTCTCAAATATGTATGGAATAGTCTTTTCTTGTATAATGGGCTTGCATGTTATAATGCAAATTTTTATTTGTAATAAATTTGAAAGATCAATAAAAATCAAGTACTAAGATAAGCGAGAAAGTTATTGTGAACTGACCAGGTACATTCATAAACACATAAATAAAACAATCAGTTTGATTGATAGATAGGCTAAAACATAAATATAACTATTTACCTTTCTTAATTTACCAAATGTGCCTTGTGGACACTCTTTTTTGTAGAATTTTTTCAAACGTCGCATTTCTGGCTTGGCCATGCCGACAGATTCTAAGTCCTCTTCCTTCACGTACTTGAGGTGATCAACACAAGTGATTTTGAGCTCGTTTCTCAATGCGTTGTAGTAGTGACCTAGCTGGGCCTCCATCAGGAAGTCCTGAAGATCACGACTAGATGACATAGCCGCTGCTTCTTGGCCTGGATAACAGGAAATAAATAATAATGAATCATAGTGTATACATTTAGTATAAATAAGCTTATTACATTCATATAGTCAATACATCATATTTATATACAGTAATAAACATTTAGTTATATTTGTTTATAATCATATAAATAAATAACATACTTGTCATGATACAATATATATATATATATATTATATACATAAACTGCCATGATACAATGTAAGGACTATAAGTACATGTATAATAATACATAAATAAATATATATATATACTATTGATGGTACTGCTTTTATTTATAATTCATACTATTACTATGCCTAGCATACATTAATTGTGCACACAATATTAAAACTGAAAAAACTGTTTATTTTTAATAATGTTCATACAGACATTTACATAATTTTATTGGGACAGTTTCTCACAGACTTTATCCTCACAATGTCAAGGAACATGGAACCCACTGGCATGATATACATATTTAGATGTTACATTGACTGTGTTAGCTGACTTGCAGCTTCTAAAACAAGTGAAAAGTGAAATAAATGTATTTCAGCCCTATATTATGCACTCTTTCTGTTTTCTTCCACATAAAACAAAACATGAACGGAAGGTAATTAAGCAATTTATCTACAATTGTAGGATGACCAATAATAATAATTGTATGCCTCTACAGCTACTTTTAATGACATTTCCAAAATAGTTTTTGAATGATGCATACAGAATTTGTCATGATATTCTTTGATATATGTATTAATTCATATCCGTGTCTATTATTTCCTGTGTTTTATATTCAAACAATATACCATGTATCTAAACAGGATAATTACATGTACATGTACAACACTCTGGTTATTATCTTTTTGTTGTGTCATTGCTAAATAAAATTATATTCTTACTACAAACTATAAACAACTCAATCTAGGTTGCAGCAATGTTACATGTAGATATCTCACGGTATGGTAATAATTTGATTGACAATTATTATCCCAAGCACATCGCTCATGCCCCGCAGATCCAATCCAGTGAAATGAGGTTCTATTCCTCAGTAAAAAAAAAGTTGCAATATCAGCATATGCTTCACTTTCAGTAATCCAAAATCAACCAATGGCATAATTTTGTCCAATTCTGGACAGAAAATCCCTCTACTGCACAAAAGTTACAGTCCTTATGGTATGATAATTTGAAAATGTACATTCAAAACAGAAATATAGTCAAAACTGTAGCTATCATGTAGTTTTAAACTAGGAAAAATTATATTCAATAGAAGAATTTGATTCAGACCCGGAAATAAAGACAATAGTTGTGCCTAACTAAAAAATATCAATGTCTGATAACAGCAAGTACAGAAATAATAATTGCACCTGACTGGCTGTTTTATTCCAAGCTTAATATTAATATGCTTTGAACTTTAGCATAAAGTACACAGATATTGCATTCACTGTCATATATCTGACAAAATTACATGTTATCTTAGTTATACCTTCTTCATCTGTGCTGCAACCAGATTTTCCCAATTCTTCATTATCAGACATACTTATTGATACGCTAGAAAATTTGCTGCCTTAACATGAAGGTGAACAGTAATAATTTGAAAGGGGTTTGCTGAATTCAAGGCTATACAAGTGTACCTCAGCAATTCATAAATAAAGCAAAACTGCATTCAAACAGTTGAGTTGCACAAGTATCTTCACAATACGTCCATATATACCCAGTAATATTCACTTCTTTGTGATTTATAGCAGGGTTTTTTCTACCCTTTTATGTCCCACTTATATAAATGTAAATCCAGTCTGGGTAAACAAACATGTGTATGTGATAAGCTTACAAGATAAAACTAACATCCACTTTTGTTTCGTTTTCCTATGTGAAGTCGATTAATTTAAAAATGAAGAATGATTCATAATAAAAACATTGGGGGGGGGGGGGGGGGTTAATGTCCACACAACACAAACTAGGTCATTTTGGGACTAACATATGGTTCAATTTTATTTCAATAATTTGCTTGCACGTAGGGGTCTTTAGCAGTCGGAGGAAACCGGAGGACCCTGATAAAACCCACAATGTTGGAAAGGCGACTCTACTCCTTGTCACGTACAACTGGGGATCGAAATCACGCCAGTTGAATCAATGACAGACCGTATGATACAGCGCGCACACGCTTACCATTCAGCCATTCATACCCCCCCCCCTCCTACAATAAGACAACTTCAATGACAACGAACTGATCTAGTTAACAACCCATTTAGTGTTCATTTCAATATTAACCGCTGATCTGAAGGTAAATTAGGTACACTTAATATGTTCTGAGTATATGTTATTTTCAAATGAAATTATAAATGCATCAATCACCTATTCATCACAATAACAGACTTAGCATGTCATCCAATCAACAGAAAACAATTTAAATGATAAATCAGGTCAATTAGTTTAATATGATCACAGTTCAAATATTTATTACTAATCAATATTTACAAATCAAATAAACTGATTGACAACATGGGCATATATTTTCTTGTTTGTCACAATTCTAAGTATGTACTTTAATGGAAGCTTTATTTGGACTATCTACAAATTTTAAAGTAGCCACAATTTTTTAGTATATTTGCAAGACACTGGTTTTTACTATGGTAACAACAGCAGATTCAGTGGTTGATGCTCTGCAGTATATCTTTAAACAGCTAAATGCTACATATGTCCGACAGGTATATCTTATAAAATACAAATTGTATAACAATTTGTTACCTATATAACTTACATATAACACATTTTTACCTGCATGTATGATGCGACCTCTACAAATACATGTAACTGAGAAGTGGTATCAAGTGCTTAGAAAGAATAAGCATGCCATTACCTGGAATCCTACATATAAATGGAGGGAACTTTAGATCTGAATAGTAGTAGAAAGTACCACAATTCTCAATCAGGTTACACAAGGTACCGGTACATGATTCTTTTTGATCTTCTAGAACATCTGATATCAATTCTCACTAAAGTTCACACAGCAAAATATTAAAGAACTCTAATCTGAACATCATTGATAACTGATATAGTGGTAGGGGTAAGCTACATGTACATACGATATATGTATATGACCTCATCTTTGCAATCAGTACTCATCAAACAAGAATGAGAAACAGGAAGTCATTGAAGGAAATGTCATTTTTGTGACAAAGGCTTGTAATTTGGTGTTTTAAAGTTCAAGTTCATGTCGGTTGAATCAGTTTTCTGTGACATAAACTATTCATATTCTTTATTCAGGATGAGTAAAAATATGAATTGATTTTATTACTTCAAAGGAAACTAATATTACTAATGTTAATTATCATTAATTTTGTCAAATCCAATATAGTGTGAACATTTTTCAACGGATTAATAAAAAGCAAAGTCAGGCATGTATTTGGGGTACAGGGTGCCACCCCACTATATCTTCTCCACTACAGGAAGACGTTTACGATTATACAATTACAAGTGTAGACAACATAAACATTTTCAAAAAAACCCTAAAAACTCATTTTTTTAAAGAAGCTTTTGTGATTCCTCGGTGCGATTTTTAAACTTTTTCCCCCCCACCATTATGAATATTGTAACCGCCCACTAGAGCAGCTAATCTAGCTGGATGTTGGCGCTCCATAAATGTCCATTATTACTATTATTATTATTATATCATTATATTGTCCTATCAATTTTATAACTAAGTCAGTCTAAAGTGCATTTACTTATCTGTCTTTAGGATCCAAAAATTTCCTATATAATATAATTCTTGACTATAGGAACATTGGATTTTTATATGTGTGTGTTTGTTATGTGGGGGATAAAGTCCAAAAACGCTTTTGACTCCCTATGCTCGGCAAGACTTTCGGTTGCGGTCCCTTTTTCCAAAATCATGTATCTAGCCCTGCAAAGCTGCTAATAGTTTTTATTAAGATATTTAAAGTGTTAATCTAAAACAGACCACAATGGAGAAATATCTTGATTTTCTTAAAAGAAAAGATATACAACATAATTTTGATGTGATGGATTCCACCTGTATATGTTCAGTTTCATAGATAAATTAAATTGTGTTGATTGTTTACAATCTGTTTCATATTACAAGGCAGATGCTAGTACTAGCATAATGTTCTATCAAAATTGTTTAAGTAAACATATTATACATGTTGTTTTTTGGGGGGTTATTTTCGTAAAAAGAAGAAAAAATATGTACATGTGCATGTGATTAGTGACTACCTTTATGTATCTGAACATGTAGGGAAAAAAAGGTGTCCTGGTTTTTACAGGGTCACTCACCAATACCAAATAGTCTGTTAATTATGCTAATTAAATGCCAAAATGTACACAGAAGCAGTCACTCAAGATGTTCAGGCAATCACGAATTGATTTTGAATCATGAAGCTTGTCTCCAACTCTGAGGAGCGACTCAGAGAGAGTGAAATATTTTAAACATTTCAGAAGCTGTAAACGACTAACAATAATAAATACTGCATGCACAATTGCTTTATCACTGTTTATACATGAACTGCACAGTTTGAACAGACGAAAGATTCTTTATTAAACATCAGAAAGGCGAGATATGATCTTATCTCTAGCATTTATGGCACCGCTTAAATTCTGACTTCATGTTGCTCTTGATAAGGTGTACCAAAGTCAGGTAGAGGTTTTTTTTAATCATGTTCTACAAATCATGAATACAGGTATATTCTTTCCTTTTATTTGTTAATTCAGATTCTGTATATGGTCTTGTACCTTCATAAGCATATTTCAACAAAATGTTATGCATAATCCTGCCATCTGTTAGGCAGCCCCTTTTAGGCCTAATAGTGAAATGCAGTCTGGGACCAACAGGGAGGTTTATCATGTTTACAATTTTTCTGTCAAATACCTTGAATGGATTATATTTTGATCCTTTATCTAGAATTTGAAAACCAGTCTATAGAAAATTGGATCTTTTAGCAAGATTATGCATTCTACTCTCTAATTTGTGTCTTCTCAATGTAGCTTGAAACCACAGAATCAAATAGGGATTCCAATTGAATTAACGTGGCATCTCTAATTTGTCTCTTTTCAGTAACTTGATTTCTGCCAATTTGATCATTACACTTGATCGAAAAAACATAACATGTGATTAAAAATAAGAAGATAACTAGTATCATGGAGGCCAGTCCAACGTCAGTGTGGATTATTCAAGAAGTATCTTATCATACATGTGGAATATTATTAGCATCACTGCTCAAATAATTATCAATGATTTTATAAGATTAATGAACACCCCTGACACTAAAATGAAAATGATGATTTTTCTCTAAATGACCCAGTCTGCAAAATACATTTCTAATTTTATTTGAACTCAATCATCACATGTGGTGACCCACTATAAGTATATATCTGTGTAAACTTCCTCAATTAAAGAAGAAATTTACTTTAAAAGATTACCAGGTAGAATGATAAAATGTATCAATGTGAACATCTGCTTCTGGCAACTATTTTGGTCGATGGTTAAGAGGTTTTTTTTACTTTTACATCATGGCTTGTTCTGTGTTGTTAGTAATAATTTTCTTTTTGTAGAAATATACGAGTAAGATAATATTTACTTGATAAATGAAATTTGTTAGTGTGTCTGTTTAATGTATAAGACTGACAAGTCCTCATTGATTTATACAAAGATACCTAAAAATTTAAGCCAAGTTTACATGGTTAACTTCTATTATGGATCTACAATTAATAAGAAAAAGAAAAGTTTTTTGTATTTTCATTAAGACAATGTGCCTCTTCAGAACCAAACAGATTCTTAATAATAAACAAAATATTCAATGGATTAACCAAGACTAAATATGTATTGGGTAATGCTGTGCAAGTGTATGCTCAGTCAAACAATTCAAAAGTAAGATCATACAAGGTAATCTCTGCTTCAAGCTAGCTCCAAGAAAATTGCAAGGTCCATTCTTCATCTATGGTTCTTCTTGCACCTGGCAAGAAAAGCATTAATTAAGCTTACAAAGAACACTTTTTTTCCAAGTATTTCTGTTTTAATCTAAACTGGCACATATTCTAGAGCAGTTTAACAATGCTATTTCCATTTACATCTATTTCATTTCAATAAAAGTAATATTTAAATAAAAAGTATAAGCTTAAAGATAAATTATGTAAGATTTTGATAGATAGCTAGCTATTCTTGCTATAATAGTTCAAAAATAGATAATGCAAAATGAATATATTGAAAATTTCATTCAAATTATTCTGAGCAAAGATATTAGCCTTTGAAGGTTTGACAAGATGTGTGCATTGATTGTAATATTTAAGGCCTAAAAAAAGACCTGCAATACACAGATTTAGCTCTTCCATAATGCCTGTTTAAGCTTCCAAATAACTTACTGACTGAAATGATGAGTTAACCCATATAGAAAAATTATTTTAATTTACCAATTTAGCTGGGTCAGTATTATTAATTTTCAACATTATATAGCCTACAATAAATGGCAAAGGGTCCTCCCTTCAAACCCTTCATTTAATCATGTAACAGGAAATGAACACTCTACTTCTGTACCTAATACACCTACATGTGCATGTAAGTAAAATTATACTTACAATGTATGTCAATGACTTTAAATTAATGCCATCAACCCACAGCAAGCTAAATTACATGTTATTTTCAATCTCCAAAATTTTACATTCTCTTGTACTGTTCACTTTAAACATTAACTATTATTACCATTTAAAATTTACGGTCAATTTCAATATGATGTTATTGTATTTGAATGTGACATCCATTTTATAATCACGTATATTAAAGGAACGAAGTCTTTAACTCAATATCATCCACAGTTTTGGACATAAACACAACTTATTGGTCAATTTAAATCAACATTGATGTTGTTATCTTACGGTGAAAAGTTGGGCTTCTGATATCCAATATTTAGGACAAAATGAAAATTTAAAATTGAATGCTTTTGAATGCCAGTTGTATGAAGCGACTCAATGAGCGGGGCTAAACATGTCACATGTAGGAGAATACTACCAGTGTAGACTGAAATAACCAGATGCCAAAGACTGGCAGTCAATTCAGATTTTTCCTGTATTTTGCTGAACGTAACTGATTAGAAATTACAGTAAAAACAGAAACGATTGAATGTAAATCAGTTAAAATACATTCATATTACATTATTTTATGCACTGCAAACCATTTGTGTCCATTTCTTGGTGCCAAAGAATAGAGATTTAGCTCCTTTAAATATATACCATTGTCATGTAATTTCATCAGTAAAAGAGTTATTATGAAATATTGAAATATATTTATTTAAATTTAAATATTCTAAGAGATGTTCAAAATAGAACAATAATTTTTACTCTTATCCAGGAAACTTTTCTCCAGTCATTATCATAAATAAGTCTATATCAAAATTTTTGTGTAAGTTTCACATCATTCTGAATCTATACAAAATATGATATTCGAGTCAGTGTTTATAAACAAAGAGCTTGAGGTTCAAAATCTGGTGAATATTATCTGATTCTTATATACATATATAATTTAATCTAACCATGAGAAAATATGTAAGAACATTTTGAAATTGACACAAAAACTTCCTGTTGTCATACTTGTTTTTAATTCTTGTTGACAAGCAGTTTCTCAACCTACTTTTATTTTCAACAGACTATTTGGCACCTTCATTTAAAATAGAGAAAGAGTTCTTGAAGAGATGTTGTATTCAGCATTGCAGAGAAACAATACAGTACAAAAAACTGTACTCTATATCTTTAAAAATAAACAGAAAGAATATCTGTAGATTTAATCTTGAAAGTTAATAGGAACTGGAACCAGATGAATTCAAGTAGAAGGGCTGTCAAAGAGTAAAAAAGACAGGATATGTTGGAACTGCTTTATAATATATACCACATACGTAAACAATAAAATCTATAATTTGATACATAAAAATAATATCCCCTTAAGACAAGGAGCTTAAACTAAAGCTTAAATATCAAAGACTTAGGAAACACTGGCAGTTAAGGATTTATGGTATACTCTTTTGATAAGAGCTTTCTAACCTTTCTTATACTCTTACCTATTGTTTTGAAATAATAACTGTTCTACTAGAGAATAGGGATTAGACTTCTCAACAAATAACAGCATACATAAACCAATTTAGTGTGAAGGTGTACAATAAAGAGGACAATTCCAATATCTGCGAAAGCTTACCATGCATTATGCCAGAACATGTACATTTCACGAGGCATTCCTGATTTTATGAATATTATTGGAAACAGAACTGCTGATCCAGATAAATGAAAATGAAATGAAATGGGGTTTCATTGCATTATATGGGTTGTCACAAAGAAATTGTTACTATCAAATATATTTAATATGGCATGCGTGCCTTCTGTAACCCTAGATCTATTTCCAATAACACAGATAAATAGTCCTGGATTTACTTAACTTATGTAGAGCAGCCTACAGGATACAATGTACATCAATCCACATTATTGTAAGTTACTACAGATCTAGTTAATTATTGTAAGTTACTACAGATCTAGTTAAACTATCTATTAAAGTTTAGTAGTAAATACTTTCAAAAATCGAACTGATCTAGTATATTACATTTTAGTCAGTCTTGCTAGATTGGGCAGAAATGTCCATTACTGCTTTAGTAATTAATATCAACATGGGCCTCTACAGAACATTTCGCAAATAAAATTTACACACAGAGAAGCTAATGGAATCTGTTCAAAATTCAAATAGAGACAAAGAATATATATTAAACTGTGCTCCTTCAGTTAAATCCAAGAGAGTCTTAAAAGTTCTAATATCACAAATATTAATTTTGATATTATGTAAGGTCTTTTTAGCACATCTTTGATAATGTCTGTTGTGACCAAGAGCCAGACTGACAAACAAAGAAAATTGAGTAGAAAAGAAGCATTAGAGTTGAGCAATAATCAAGTCTGACAGCTCTATTACTACACAGGCATTGATAGCCTACAAATAGAAAATATTAAAAACATACCATTAAGATCACTGTCATCATTACTCCAGAAATTGAATGTCGACAGCTTGAAATTTTTGGGCATGGAGGGTAAACTGAGAGAAAGTTTTCTCAGTCGGGCTAACGAAAGAGCCGGGGAGGAAGCCATTGCTGCCTTCTTAAAATCACACTTCTTTTAATAATTATATATCCTGGTATACACAAGAGGGTGAATATAGCTCAAATCCATAGAGCAGACGGCTTGTTACTAGCAGAAATCCAGCTGCCAGTTTACAGAACTAGTGGCTAGCTATATCCATACAAAACACAGTAGCGACTAGCTCATCTCCAGTAAATTATTGAAACTGTTCAGTTAAGGCCGAGACAAAAACTTTAAGATTGGTGATGTAATTTTGAGTATGATCTGGCTTTGTTATATTAATGGCTACACAGCAATCAAGTTTTTTTTCCTTTGCATAATAATAGTATAGTATGCATGGACATGCCATAAATATTAGTAATTTATAATCTAGGTTACACATACAACAGTATTTGTATGAGACATGACCATATTATATTCATAGATTGTTCAATATAAAAAAAAAAATTAGAAAGGAAGTTTATTTTGAAAATTTAATTTTTTAAGATAACCTCAGTTTACAGAACTGTACATCATTACATGTATGTTATTTAAAATTCATAAAAAAAAGAGCTAAACTTACATGTACATGTGACTCAATATATAAAATTTAATAATGCTTGTCATTCATTCCATCAAAATCACTTTTTCTCACTAAACATACAAGGAAAACTTCAACTAAATCTAAACAAATAGTTATTTTTGCTTTTAGTATTTTTCAAGAAACTTTAAAGTCTAAAATTAAATTTACATGTAACTGGATCATAAACACAACAAATTTTATTTCCTGCTTATATTAATTTCTTGATTTGAATAGTAGTTATTTAGAATTAGTATATATTTGTACAGTAGAATCCAAATCATACTAATTTAAGCAAACAAACAGTGGATAAAAACATGATAGTCTGATTCCAATTATCCCATATTTGAACTCGGTCATTTGACTGCTATATATAACTTTCAGGAAACTATTAAATACAAAAATTGATATTTGTAGATGCTCAAATTGTAAATTAATGCATACACGCAACTGAAGTATCCCAGTGCCTCAAATTTAGTTAAAATATTTTAAGAAGCAGATAAGTTAAAGTTACAACAGGGTGGCCTTAGTATTACTGATAGAATTGGTGTTGAAAATTTCTTCAATGATGTGTTATGTGTCAGAAGTTTAATAAGGCTTACATAAATAAGTAAAGTATTTCACTGAACTAATGATATGTAAGAATTAGTAGGATGTATTACAAAATAAATTTATTTGGATTTCTACAATGTGATTAAAATGATTTTCCAGGTAAGCTGTTTTTAATTAACTTTAAGTTTTAAAAATTGCTTTTGAAACGCCAAATATTATGTGCATACAATTTATAAACTTGAGCATAACAAGGATTTATAAAATTGACAAAAATCACTTTTTCATTTTGCGCAAAGCCTGTATTATTATTACAAGCCCGGAACTGTGCAGTGCAGTGGACACTTACAGCTAGTTCTCCAGATCCTTTCACTTGATCTGATATGTGGGTTTGTCTTGTGTAATTGCTGGTGTGTTGTGCGGTCCCTCTTCACTTACTATTAATCACTTAAAGGACAATATTGGTGCCAGTCATTATCACATATGTGATAGAGCTGGTTAAACACAATCCAAATATAATTCTAACACAGAGATCATTGCTACGCTACGATAGCTGAGTAATACAGGTTTCCTGAATCGGAAGTGACGAACGCCTAAGGAAAACACGAGTCATCTCTCTATATAACTGACTGATGTGACGAGTGATAACAGATACACGGCTGAATTTCTGCTCACTAATAATTCCTAAAAGTTGTTATATGGGACTGTAAGATGATACCTGACAATTGAATGCCATTAGATAAGAGAACACAAGAAAAATAGAAATCGTCCGTACATTCCCTTGTTTATATTCATTCTATACCTTATAAAAGCATGGTAATGCACAGACTTTTTCTGTTTTTCTTTCGTGTTCACTGATCTAGTGGCAGTCAATTCTTTTTATGAATTGTCAGATATCCTCTCACAATCTCACACAACAACTTTTGGTCTTCGAAGGAATTATTAGTGAGCAGAAATTTGCCCGTATATCCGTTATCACTCGTCACATCAATCAGTTGTATAGAGAGATGACTCGTGTTTTCCTTTGGTGTTCCTCACTTCCGATTCAGGAAACCTGTATTACTCAGCTATCGCAGCAAAGATCTCTGTGTTAAAATTATATTTGGAATGTGTTTAACCAGCTCTATCACATACGTAGCGTGACCCACCATAAATAAATATCTCCAAATATCTCGACAATTACGCCACAATATTTATATATATGCCAAGCCTCAAATCAGTTTCACACAATTATAGTCACTAAATAAACGATCATGTTGTACTTAATAAGCTATGACCATTAATCATCTATAAATACTAGACTGAAAACTGGTTCCAAGTTGCGTCCATAACATCCAGACACTTTTGAGTAAAAGATAGGTTACGTGCCCTTGTTTTGAAATTAGTCTCGCTTAACCAGTCTATCGACCATTCTACGTCTGATTGACAGGTCGGGATAATCAAGACTACTTTTTTACGAAACATAACAGAAAGCTAGAACAAGAAATTGAATTTAGAAATAAGCACTTTAGACAACTCAACAATTGTTTTAAGAAACTTGTAAAAGTAAAATGAAACTACTGCTAGTATCATGTTCCTGCTAAAGAAAGTGATTCAGAGATAGTATTTGTACTAAACCAAAAGATGCCGCTCTTAACGGTACAGTTAATGATAAAGCAATTTAAAAAGTAAAACAAACGTAATTACTAAAGCTGCTGTAATAACCAAGAAGCTAAATTTTACTGCTATTCAAAATCGTCAACAATAGATTTTTTACGGCTGTAATAGTTGATATATTTGTAGAGAATTGCACGTGCCATGGCTATTTATCGACTCAAAGCGAGTGCGGGGTAGTCAGAAATCAGTTCGAGACACGCAACTGAAGCGTGCACATTTAGCCGTGTCGAGACCAACTTTCTGTAAAGTGCACGGGTCATCCTAACATACGTGATAATGACTGGCACCAATATTGTCCTTTAAAACCCATTATAATTCAACAATGATGCCTAGTTAACACTGTATATAAGGTGTCAATAAGCCCCATCAAAATTATATAAAAAAATACACAGATCCTTAGTAAAGATAAAAAGACATGTTGTTTGAATACCAATATTATTATTGTTATTAATGCAAATCACGTTTGTCGTCCAGTCTATGTGGAAATATAATATTTTATGGCTATCTGCAAATTATTGATCTTACAAAACTGTACATAAGCAATGGGCATTATTCAAGGATGTTCAAAAATATTGCAAGCACCTCTGTAATGTGCCAACTCAGAAACCTTTAGGTCCTGGGTGCGATCTATGTGTTGGCCAAGAACATTCGTTAGGATCAAGGGCGTGACAAGGAATGTAGTCTTGATGTGTGAAAAGGACAAAAAAACTGAGCTCCCATGTACAAATTGGTGTGCATGTAAAAGAAACCCTTGACAGTAGGAACTTCTATGAAGAGAGTAGGCAGAAATGCGTCTGTCCAAGCAAAAGTTTTCCCCATTGTACACTACTGGTGAATGCATGTCTTCCTTATCCCGGAATGTGCAAAAAAGTAGGACATTAATTACTCCATTTCATTTCATAAAGCGTAGTATGATAAAAGTTTGTATGCACTACATACATGTAGTAATACTGGACACATCAAAACCGAATACCATGTTGTTGGAGAGGTAATAGGGAATATTCAAAACCAAAACATTGGGTATTTTCATATAATGTAGGAGCCAGTCAGTGAGTCACATAGCTGCTGGTATTTTTATTCATTCATAAAATATTGACCACATTATGCTCTACATGTAGCTACGAGACTGATGACCAATAAATATAACATTTCATATAAAGGTGTACAAGACATATCACAGTTATGAATGATTTGTGTCTTTAATGGTTTTAATGTTAAGCACAGGCCTCAATACAGTAATATACATGTAGCAGCCTCAAATGTTTCTGGTAGTCATCTTGTTTCCTAGGCAACAAAATGCTTGTCTCGCTAACACAACCTAAGAACTTGCACCAATTGCAATTAAAAAGCTGGACTATCAAAACTAACCAAATTATTATGCCATTCAGCAAGTTTAAGCATGCCCTGTTTTTGAGCAAGAAAACTAAGGTAGTTGCAACTGATCATGGTAAAATAGAACATGTGCAACTTAACTGCTACTGGCTTTTTTCAGTCGAATCAGATTGAAAAATCACTTAAGAGGCATTATGGGACATTAGATAAAGAACTGGCAGTTCTCGCTATAATTGATAAAAAATAGATAATGTAAGTAAAATATGATGAATATTTCAGTCAAATTGCTCCACTCTGAATCAATATATTAGCTTTTAAATTTTAGGCTAGCCTCGATCATCATTACTAAAGTCGATAAAAACAAAGTCTCGATTATCCATTTTTATGTTTAATCATCCTCCACAAAATGTATTCCAATCTACTAAATATCCCAGGCTAGCAATGGCATCATGATTATGGTCTGGATAAGTTAATTAATGTCTAATTAATAATTTAGATAATTCAGGCGTAAAGAAAGACCTGCAAAAGGCAGATTTAGATCTTGCATAACTGTATGTTTTTAAGTTGCCTTTTTCATGCAACTCTCAGTTGCATTCAGTTGCAAAGCCAACCCAACCACACTATTTCTGAACATAAGAGCCACATAAACATGGTGAAGTTGGGCTTATAAACTGTTTATTTGACCTGTAAAACATTTTCAAGAATTTCATGACTTTATTACCAAAAGAGTTATTTCCCTTTAATAAGATAACTCTTCATGTCAAACATTTTCCACTTTAGCAACCAATCCTAGAATTTCTGACTTATAAATTATATGACAAATATAGATTAATTATTTCATCATGGGATTATTACACGATTAATATGTTACTGCGTTTGCATATATAACCAGGATATCATTTTAATACTAGGCGGCAAACATTTATATTCATCTACTGAGCAATTCTAACACAACAGCAGAGGACCACATAAATAATATTTTGAATTCATGTCATAAGTTTCAAAATATTAAATTTAAGGCCACAGCTGGAAAATACAGATATCTTATTATTAAATGATCAGATAAAG